CCTTTTTTGATTTATAATCAAAAAAGGTTTAGGGTTTAACTCGGATTTACAAAATTCGACCTAAATAAAAAATCGGATTTCAGAATTCCGGTTTTTCCTTTACATTAGATTTTGGAAATCTGATTTTTCCCTAAAATCGGATTTGTGGAATTCGGTTGTATTAGCAAATTCGGATTTGTGAAATCCGATTTTATCGAAATTCGGATTTGTAGAATCCGATTTTCTTTATAAATTCGCTTTAACTGAAAATTCATATTTCAAATCTGATATTGTGTCAATATGATCCGCAAAAATAGATGTATCAATGTTAGCATTTGTACGTGTGTGGTATTTTATAGTTTTAGTATGCGTGTTTTGTACTGAGTAACAGAGTTAACAACACTTTCTAACACTAATACATATGTATCACTAGTACATGTGTTATCTATTATTATTAATAGATAAAAATATTAATAATAATAATCTGTAATAGTATTAATAATAATATGTATCAGTAGTATAAGTGATATCTAATGTATAACAATATTAATAGTATTATGTCATACTAGTTCGATGATAAATAATGATTAACAATAAAAAAACCATATTAATAGTAATGTGTATCAATAGTAACAATAATATGTAATAGGTAATAATGTTAATGGTAGTAATGTGTAACAGTCTTACTGATAATCTGTATTACTAGTACATGTGATATATGATGTGTAACAATGTTAATAATAATAAGTAATACTAGTATATATGTGATACTTTTGTTGTAGTAGTATTAATGATACTATGTAAAACTATTCTAGATAATATCTAATGACTAATATATTTAACAATAATAAGTAACACTAGTACTAATGATATTTAGTGAGTAATAGTATTAATGTACTATATAACACTAGTACGTATAAATAGTACATAACACTAGTACAGATGAATTATAATGAATTAATTTAATACAAATTCCTAACAGTTTTAATAGTACTGCACAATATTAGTAATATATTTTTTTCATCAATTTAATGCAAATTTAGTAATATAAGATTTTATTATTACCATATCTAATACAATTTTCTTTTTAATTTTTTTGAAAGTGGATAAGTCAATTTAATGTGAATTCCTATCAAAACTCGGGAAAAATTTTCAATGTTTTCTGCACTTAAAGATTTTTTTTTAATAAAAAGAAGTTCGGATTTTCAAAATCCGATTTTATTGTTCACTTATTTTCAAATTTTCAAATAAATTTTCAAATTTTTAAATTTTCCCGCCCTTGAATTTCTTTTTTTTTTAAAAAACAAGGTCGGATTTTCACTGTTCATTATTTGACCACAAAAAATATATATTATTTTTTTTCACATGTATTTTTCAGAAAAAATATATTATTTTATTAGATTAGATTTTCAAATCCGATTTACTAATTTAATTAGTAGTTCGGATTTTGTAAATCCGATCTCCATATTTTGCTCTACAAAAAAAAAATAAAAATCTCTCTACTCTTTTTTTTAGACAATTTTTTAACTAAAACTCCCCTGAAACTAATTTTATTTAAAATATTATCCATACAACTTTTTAAATTTCTTTTCAAACCACATTTTAAATCAAATTTCAAACTTAAATAAAAACTAAAATAAATCATTATCCATACAAGCAGCGGTAGAACTAGCATGGTGCCCGAGGGATCAGCAGACCCCCCGGTGGCCGGAATTGCCATAGGGTTTTTCTATGGCTGAAGTTTGAGTTGGTTCCGGCGGTTTCTTTTGAGCCTCAGATTTTATAAAGAAAATTAATTTCAGAAGGGCTGAGATGGGGCTGTATCAAAAGAAGAGAGGGAATCGAGGAAATAGGCTGCAAAATATTTCCTGTGATTGGCCGCCGGTAGTTGCAGCGGAGCACAAAGGAAGGAGAAGAAGAAGACGTTGAGATTGGTAATTATTAATATTTCCAACTTGGTGTATGTAGTTTCATAGTTTTTCAACCGAACCCCAACATCATTAAAAATTTCCATATAAGGCTTTAAGGTTTTATTGATTAGTCCCTATATTTCATATACATTATAATTCAACCCTTCATTCCATATTACAGATTTTGGAAGTCACAAATCAACAATTAAAATATAGCTTAAAATGTTTTTTTTCCTTAAACACAAAATTTCTTTATTATAAAGAAAATATATTAAAGATGCACAAAAAGGAAAAAAATCATTTTAAAATTAAGCCCTTCAAAGCTGGAAGTCTGGTTCCGCCATTGCATACAAACCCGTGCATTTCTCTCTGCCATGTTCTCAAAGAACTTCTGAGCACCTTGCAAGTTGCAAGAAATCATACCCACCATGAAAAATGCAAAGAAAATAAAATAAAAGAGACTTCCAACAAGAAAACCACTAGGTCAATCCCTCGATCCTACATTTGAATAGAACAGTAAAAGTGCGTCCGTATAATAATCCATGTTATTTAAAGAGAGAAAATATTCAGTGGAGCTGCTGTATCACGTAGGCACACAAAATTTTTAGAGAAAAGTGATAACTTCTACAGGAGTTTAGTAACAAAATAGGCGGTAATAGTACTTGTTGTACTAAAAACAATGATAGAGCTGCTGTATAGAATATTTTTTCATTTAAAGACGACCCATTTATATCTGGCTTTTCATCAAACACATGGCGGGCCTCTCTAATTCTCCCAGGTTTTGAGAAGATACTTATCAGTATATTTAAATGGAGTATTCCTTAAGGTCGGAAAGGTCGCCCAATTAAGTCAGTCGTCTGTGATTTTTGAGAAGCCCCTTGTAAGGAAATGCTGCGACTTCTGGATTGAAGTGCCTCATTAAGCTGTGAAGAATGTTCGGGCCTTGGTGCTTACGTCTTTTTCTCTGCATGATTTTGAAATGGGTTTGGGATCAAAGCGCCTGCGTGTTCGAGGACCGCAGGATATGCAAGAGACGCAGAAAGGAATTTGAACTGGATTAGCTTGTCAAGTTTAAAACTTTTTTTAGCTTTCAGTTGCAGTATGCAGCCAGCTGTGGTTCATTCAAAAGGGGAAATGAGAGTAATCCGGATTGCGCATATACTGAACGTAATAGCTGAGCCCGAGATGGAATCTGTTCGGGATTCCTAAGGTGCGCCGTCCGCCGGTGGTTGTGGGAGCTGAAATAATTTGATTGGAGAAAGAAGGAGGGCTATCTCAATTCTCATGGAGAGAAAAGATACAGATTTTTTGAGGTAAAAACGAATGCCTTTTCCTTTCTGCTTTTCTTGAACTAGGAAGCACAAACTACATAATAATATTTTACACAATATTGGTTCAAATTAAATTAATAAGCCTTATTTCAAAAAAAGGAAAAAAAAAAACCCTGATATTACTACAGTGATTTTCTGAAATTCATAATGCATTTCTTATTCCACTTTCAATTCAACAGCCTGACCATTTCCTTGGGGAATAAGAAAGAATAACCAATAACCTATTGCGCTGAACGGTTGTTTCAGTAGACCTTTCTGAGTTCAACAACGATGTCACAGTCAAACTTTGACCCTTTTATTACTGTATATGATTCTTTTTGAAGACTATGCCTTTATGCCATTGGGGAAAAAGGGATACATTTGGAGCACATGAATACTATAATATTCAGAACTCTTGTTTTTAGGCCGCACCTAATGGTGCTTTGGAGGTACCTAGGCTATGATAACGGTTACAACGGGGTAAAGCTTATTGGGGAAGGGGATAGTACTACTAGGGGAGACTCCATTTGCGTGGGCCTCTTGCTCGACGTGTCCGGTCCTCCGTGGCCGATGATGGCAGGTCTCTTACCTGCTTAAACTGACTTCTGGTCATCTACTTGTTTCCTGCTTCAACTGCTTGCTTCCCGTGTTCGCGATAGGAATCGAATCCTTAATCTCGGATTAAAGGTATAACGCCCTAACCACTTGGGCACGACTCGATTCCTATTTTCAGAACTCTTTTGATTATAGACTGTTTAGTTAGAATATTTGATTGGTTACTTCAAGAACAACTGACTAAATGGCTGGTTGGTTGACTTTGGAGCTGCTTATTTTATGAGCTCTAGTGTACTACCAGAGCAGTGGTAGTAATAAAAACACAGAAACACCTCCCTAGCTGACGTGATGCACAAAAGTCAGTAAGGAGCCTAATTATGCCTTTTTTGAGTTTCTCTTCTTCTTTCTGGCACTGCCCGACAATAGATTAAGTTCAGCGAATAACTCAAATTCTTGAAAACCCTTTGTGCAACTTTCAGATTTTTGGCTTTCACCATGAAATGAAGCTATGTATATGCGGCTGAAGTGCTGAAGTTGCACTGTTTCATCAGGTTAGTGTTTTACTGCGATTCTCGAGTTTTCCGTGAATTAATAGTTAAGTGTCCATTCCTGGGTTTCTTTCCCTTCCTTGCTGTTTGATTTCCTAAATTCAAACGAGATCTGAAAATTCTAAATCAGAAGTTGAATTTAATCATGTCAATCACAATGAATCAGCGAACAATACTTTTTCTCTGGGCTTTACTTGAGTTGCTGTTTTTGTTTAACTTTGCAACATTATCTTTATATTTTGACGAGCCTCCGGTCGCCTATACATACAACAGAATACATGATTTTGAAAAGGAATGCAGCCATTTCTGTCTTCAGCTTCTAAGCTAGAACCAGATGATGGTAGAAGTTATATGATTAAAAAGGAGCTTTCTTTCTTTAAAGGGGATTGGGTGCAGGAACTAGGGGAATCACCATTTTTACCTTTTGATGCTAGTGATCTTCCAAAGGGACCTTTTACTAGTGCATGTTCTCCTTTAAGATAAGTAGGATTTGAGGTAAAGTATGTCAATCCAATATATCAACGCAAAAATGCTGTTAGTCTTTGTGGGACTATGTGTATAGGTAAGGACAGGAATGGTTCATTGATATATGATTCTAGATCCTCTCTTTACATGAGGCCTGGAACATCTGTTCTAAAAATTGCCTTTGAAGAAGTTTATATAGAAAATGAAAAGAACGGTGAACAACGTTTGGTTTTATGTTGGGGAATACTTCTCTGCCCATCTTAAAATCAGTTGAAGATTTTCCTGATGAGTCGAGAAGTGTTGATTCCTTCCGCAAAAGAAAGCTCAAATTGCTGCAAGATGGTCGCTTGTTGTTAGTCCTTCGTTATCCTCGGGTATCCAGTTTGATCAGAAGAGCAATCTTGGGAGAACTGATAAGTTTAAATGAGCCCGGGAAGCCTGGATACTTTGACGCCATTCATATAACTTCTCAGCTAAACCGTTTCTCAAGATACGAGTTTAGCTCAGAAAAACTGAAATCGAAAACCTGCAACTTTGGTTCGTACCTTGATGAGCTCGAGGAGGATGGTGCAAACACATTTAACAGTTCTGAATTCTGCCAGGTTCTGCGTCGTTTCACTTATCCTGGAGGACATTTTAAGATCGCACTAAACTGGAGATTTACCAGCAGGTGTTTTTTCGGGTCTTCCCTCCCAGGAGAGGAGATTAAAACAATTGAAAGGAGTTGCAACAATGTCTGGCTCACTATGCAAAACATCATATGCGATCAGGAAATGAACAGTGCCAGGGTTGCTGCAGTAATGAGAGTAAGTCCTAAATGGTTGGCTCAAGACAGAGCAGCTACAATGAACGGCTTGTCAGGAATGACAATGTCTATTGAAGGGACATGGGATGCCTCGAAAGGACAACTTTGCATGGTCGGGTGTCCTGGAATTGCTAATTCAGGACTCGAAGGATGTGATTCTCGTATCTCACTGTACTTTCCTCAATCATTTTCCATTAGGCAGAGGAGCATCATTATAGGAAGAATATCTAGCATTAAAAGCAATTCATATGAGCCTTTACTCTTTGATTCAGAGGTGCGTCGTTCTGATCTTGAAAATGATTATGACCAGTATTTTAGGTCTTACATTTCATATAATTATCCAAAGATTGAACTTGCTGGAGCTATTAAGGGAAGGAATCGGCTACCTAGATTAGTCACTATTATCAAGCAATTGTTCCTGAGTTATCCAGATGGATCAAGCCTCCTCACTAGATTCAAATCTGGTGTCAAACAATATTCCCTGATATTCAGCTTTGCATCAGGATGAAGCTGATTTATTTTCTCTTGCAGAGATTAGGCGTATTTCTTATGATCTTTCTTTCTCTTGCTATGGAGTTCCTTTACCCTTTTATAAAAACTATACCCCGGTCACATTCATGATACTAGATGTGCTGACACTGGGTCCTATAATCAGTGGTGATAATCTCTGGTTGTATTGGAATTGGAACAGTTCAAAGTATGAGGTTAACATGTCGAAGTCTGAGGTCCTGAACATTTCACTCTCTCTCACGTTCACTGAAGGACCCATAAAATATGAAGAGATAACTTACAAAAACATATCCACGTTGTTTTTGGAGGGTCTGTACCATGTGGCCATTGGTGAGATGCACTTAATTGGTTGAAAGAAGATCACAGTTCAGTCTACTAACTGGAATCGTTAAAGGGGCTTAGATTGTTTGATTGAGGTGAAAATTTCTTATTCACCTGAGACAATGAGTTGGTTGATCAATCCTAAAGCACATATTTCCATTTCAAGCCAGCGGAGTGAAGATGATCCCTTGTATTTCAGGACAATGAATCTAGAGACCTCTATGCTTCGTTCTAATGAAATGGATGCAGTCTCTTGTAAACTCTTCAAAGAGATCCTTCGGAATCTGGTGATCATGCTATCGACTGCATTCATTTCTAGCCAACTACTTTACATGAAGGAGAAAGTCGATGGCATTCCATATATTTCCCAGATGATGCCCTCATTCCAGTGTTTCGGCTATGTATTCCCTGTCATATCCAACAGCAAGGTTCTGTTGCAAGAAAAGGAGTACCATTCCCCTGCGAACCTCTATGGTCATGGAATACACATTGATATTCCTTGACTATAGCGCGAAGCTTCTTGCCTTAGCTGCCTTTTTGATGACGGTAACCCTCTCCCACAAGGTCGCTGAGTGTAGGAAAAAACCCCATCTTCATTTGCCTTCTCATTCCAAAGGAATACCTAATGATCAAAAGGCTCGGTATTTGACTGCAACATTGCTTTTACTTGGGTTTTTGGGTTATTGTTACCTTCATAGCGGAATCTTTGAGACTACAAAAGTTCATGGTCTCGGAGAAGCTGAGTTCAACAGAATTTGGACATACAAAACGCAGAGTTCATATGATTCATTCAATCTGTTTCTGTTTCCGCAGGTTATGGAAAATCTGAAATGGGAGACTAATTTTAGACCTCTTCGAAAACTTAACTACATTGGTTTTACTCTTATTAGACTTGGGTTGCATGTTTATGACTAAATAAGGGATCCAGTGGTAGACTCCTATTTGATTGAGCCTCCAACCTCGAATCCGGCCTTGTTTTTCACTTCAGTAGGGCCCCCACCTTTCAAAAAAAGTAGGGCCCCCCAACCTTGCAGTTGTACTCTTTGACTGGTTCAGCCATATTGTTGTACATTCAGCAGAAGGAAAGCCAGCAAAAGTTCATCAAAGCAGCAAAAGACCATTTCGGCAAAAACTGACTGACTGAATAGGAAGGATTTTGGTGATTTGGGGTTTAAAGCTTTGACTTTTGAACAACATTTTTCTACAATGAAACTGTGATCTTACTTTGTCGTGTAATTCGTCTTTCTTAACATTTGATTTGATGTTTGTATTATGTACTAAACACTCCCCAAAGCTAGTGTACAATTATCCTTTATCAAATGCCTTCATGTCTCGTCTGATTCAAGAAATCCAGAGATTTCCATGGTTTTCTTATGCTGCAAAACTTTAACGGATTCCATAATTGATTGTTCTGTTCTTTAAATTCAATCAAATGTACTGACGTTTGAAAAAACCAACCTAAAAAGGGGTTTTGTGTGGCATTATACTTTTTTTTTTTTTTCGAGAACTTGAAGAGAGGAATTTTCAGAAATAGTTGAGAAATGTTACCAAGAAACCAAAAACATCTCAGATACTGAAAACTAGATACACATGGATGAATGAAAGAGGTTTCACAAAAGTAATATGCTTTTAAAAATTTGAAGATATCCTTGAAACATTTAAGTTCATGTCTTCTTCATATTAATCATAAGGGAGAGATACAGTAAAGGATTATCACAATATTATATATATGCTTGCAGACGAATTTCGAAAAAATTAAAACCTTGAACCTATGAATGAAGTTTCACTGTCAGTCTGTCATCAGCACCAAGAAAAAGTCAATTGTTGATCTTGACGACCAAGTTTCCATTTGTGAGTTGTGACTTGGTCTCAGTTGGCCAGTTTCCTGTCATCTTCCCCATGGTAAAACTTGCAGAGTAAGGAAGAACCGGAGCTGCTGCCGCTGCTGCTGATGCTCTGGAGAGAAAAGATCAACATAGCAACAAAATACCGCAACCAATTGACCTGAGAAGGTTGGTTTTAATTTTTCATCTTTTGTTGTTTCATAGTTGCAGCAAATACTACTTTTGTTTCCCTCTATGGTAGCATCAATACTACTGTTGTTCAGAAGTTGTAATACTTTACTTTTCTTGGGTTCAGTTTTCTGTGGTTTTGTTATTCTATATTTGTGATCATTCATATTTTTTCAGGGTTATTACTAAGTGAATCAAACTATCAAATGAGATATCTTTCACATCTTGAGACTTCTTTGTCTACTGTTTTCTTGCTGCTCCTACTTATATCTGAAACGGCATTTTCATACCCACACCATGATGATTTTTTTCCGGAAGAAGATAATCCTGAAATAAGATACACTTACTCTCGTTTTCCTGAGATTAAGAAGCATTGTGGGTTTATAATCTCATCCGCGGTGGAGTTGCCTCCTGATGATAATAGAGGTGAAAGATTGAAAAAAGATTTCTTTTTCAGAAATGGAGATTAGAATCAGGAGCCTGGGAGGGAGCCTTTGTTCCCAATTGATAATCGTGAATCGCCAAGTAATTCTTTTGGTAGTGTCCCTCCACTCAAGTTGGTTTCTTTTTGGCTCAAGGATGTTGATCCAATCCGCAGGGCCAAAAATGCTGTAAGTGTTAGTGGAGTAACGGAAATCGGCATTATGAGAAGTGGTTTCTTGTCCTATAAGCCTTATGATTGGTCTCCAAGGTTCCATATGACAGCAAGATAGTAGTAGACTTACTGTTATCTTTGAAGGTGTGTATCTTGAGTCTCAAGAGAATGGAGGGCAGGGCTTGATGTGTTTGGTGGGAACTGCAGCCATTCCTACCAATTCTAGTCAAATGGTGCAGGTTCAAATGCAGCCGTCCACACTACAAGATGATCAAATCTTGCTTGTTCTTCGATTTCCTAAAACCTTTACTTTAACTACCAGAGATGTGAGCGGAGAAATGAAAAGCTTAAAGTCCCAGGGAAGCCAAACATATTTTGACAAAGTACACATCATCTCGCAATTAAGTGAGAAGTCAAAATATCAGTTTGGATCTGAAGAAATCCTGTCAGGTATCTGCAGTACTACTTACCCTTCTCCTCATTCTTTGATCAATGAAGATCTTGAGATTTACAAAGGAGAAGATTATTGCCAGAAGTTGTGGGGACTTGTGTGGAATGAAGTGCTTGAGTTTGTATCCACGTGGGAAAAAAATGTTCAAAGTAACAATTGCAGCAAGATTGGACCTTTCTTGCTTGACAAAGAGCTTGAGGCAACTTATAAGAGGTCTGACAAGCTCAGGCTTATGTTTCAGGAACTAAATTGTGAGCCTGGAACTGATCAAAACGGGGTTAAGATAGCCATGGTGTCTGCTGTTCTAAGAGTCATACAGAAATCAGAATACTCAACAAGAGAAGAGATGAGAACAGGTCTCTCCTCCATCACACTTTCTGCTGAGGGAAGGTGCCAATCAGCTAGTGGGCAGCTCTGCATGGTTGGTTGCACTGGACCTCCAGCTAATATTCGACAAAGTTGCCATTCTCGAATCACTTTACATCTTCCTCTCACTATGTCTATTAACCAAAGAAGCCTCGTTTTGGGGGCCATAAGCAGCACTGATGTGTCAAAATCACATGATCCTCTTATGTTTCAAAGACTGACAACTCCCGATCATTTTCTCCATACTGACTACTGGACCAGAGACTTAAAGTGATCATATAAGTACTCAAAGATTACCCAGGCCAGGGAGATTCAGAGAAGAAGCCAACCTTCCACTTTGGGAAGCATGGTAAGGAAATCAATTTTCCAATATCCATCATCTAAGGGGAATGATGTAGCCAGCTTTTCATTTTTTGCCGATGTGCTATCAGTTGAAGTTTTTGCAGCTCCTCAAACAGTCAGAGATAACGAGGCATCTAAGACTAATGTCAAAGTGGTGTTTCTTTCAATGGGTTCATTATTTGGACGATATCGATCACTTACAGAATTTGGACAGAGACATCAAGAGGCCTTCCATTCAATTTCTGAAGATATTGAAGTCTCAGGGCATCTTGAGATTAAAGGTGGTCAATATTTTAATCTCTCTCTATCTTTTGAAGGGATCTATGACCCCTCACTTGGACAGATGCATCTAATTGGTTGCAGGGATGTGCAAAACTTTGAAGAGTTCAATGATGGTGGCAGAAACCTTGAAGGAAGAATGGATTGCTTGATTGAGGTCAAACTGCAATACTCTCCAAAAAATGCTAGGTGGCTTTTAAATCCTAACATCAGGTTCTCAATCAATAGCCAGAGGAGTAAAGAAGATCCATTCTATTTCCCCCCTTTAAGTACTAATACATCTCTAATTTCATATCAAAAGAAGTTCCAGGATGTACTGATTCGGGAATGTTTCAAAGAGGGGCTTTCTATCCTACTTCTTGTGGTGGCAATCCTTTGCATACGCAGCCAAACTGGTTATACAGAAAACCTGAGCCATCCGGCTGCTTATATATCCATGGTCATGATTGGACTTCATGCCGTGGGCTTTAGCATCTCATTGATCACAGGCCATGAACCGATAGTCAAGTGGAAAGAATTTGCACCATACAGAAACTCAGGGTATGATTTCCGCAAGTTTCAGTTTCTGCAGGCTTTTGAATTGTGTATCAAGTTTCTTCTGTTGTTTGCAATCTTGGATTTAACAAAGCTCCTGCAACGAGTATGGGAATCAAGGAAGATGCTCAAGGCGCGAGTCAAGCAACTAAATTTCAGATTCCCCAATGATAAACTGGTTTTTGCTTTTTTCATGCTGATTCACGTGGTAGGTTTTGTAACTCTTTACACGGTTCGCAAACTTTATGGAATTCCACTGATGATGCAATCAGAGATGTACAGATCGGCTAGTGTAAATGTAGAAAGGATGCTACAATGGTGGAGAGAGTTAGAAAGTTATGGTGGGCTAGTTCAAGATTTCTTCTTGCTGCCACAAATCATTGGCTATGCTATATGGGGAGTCCAAGGTGAGCCTTTGAGAAAGGCTTACTACATTGGATTCACAATAATCAGGCTGGTTGTCCGGGTTTACGACTATGCCAGAGATCCTGTTCCAAATCGGCGCTATAGTGCAATTGAATTCCAGTACTTGGGTTTGGAATCATGTTATAAGGTTGGAAATGTGATTGTCTGTGTTATGATTGTTGCGCTAGCACTGACTGACTGTGTATCTCCAGCAGAAAGCTTTGTGTTTGAATGATAGGCCCGCCAGGAAGATCGAGGAATGTGACAATCTGGAATACAGGCCTGGAAATTTGTATGAGAGGCTTCTTTCGGAGTAACTTGTAATCTATCAGAGGCTTTCATGAACAGAAATTCGTTGGATGACTCTCACATTTTCATATTTGTATTGTTAGTTTTCCCTAATCTTTTTACTTCAGTTCAGTCCTGTTTTGCTTCTTGAAGTTTCTTCGTTGTAATTGAACCAGTTTGCCAATGACCCGAATAAGGCATAATAAGTCATCTCAAAGTCTTTGAAGTAACAAAAATACAACGGATTCGCACCCGAGCTTGTCACCCCAGATTTACTAAGATGATTTATTTTCCACAGTGATTTGCAGGCTATGACAGTGGGCGTGAGTTTATCCATTTTTGGTGGGGTTCCCAGCATTACAAAAAAATATATATACAATTGATCTAAAGGAAAATCAGTTTTTTTTGCAGAGAATTTAGGTAGTTTCATGAAAATGTTATCCTAATTCAACATTTCAGTATGTTTATTCTTGCTTTCACCTTTAACATTGCAATTTATTTTTTTCTAACCATGATTCTTGGTTAAAAAAAAAATTAAAAATAAAAATTGAGATAACAATTCTAACCATGACTCACATTTTTTTGGGTTCAAGAATGAGGACTGTCAACCTACCTAGATAAAAAAAAAAATTAAAATTTATCATAGTTAAGTGGCACATACATCAACATGAATCCTTCTTTCTTTATTATTGTTTAGTTCCTTCGTAAGCCAACTGGTCAAAAACTCAGTAGGAAAACAAAAAGCCAATCAATCAAACAATAACAAACACCTAAATATACTTCGCAAGGTACATCTCATTGGCATATGTAATACACTTTTCTTCTACACAAGTGGAGCTTTTAGTCCGAATTTTAAGACACCACACGCGTATTAAATTCTCCAAATTTTATCATCTTTTTTTTAGCACACGTTTAATTTCAAACTGATTTTTTTTAATGCTTATCCTATTTGATTTTATATTATTTTATTTCATAAGTTTTTTTTTTGTTAAAATGATGGATTTTATTTTTGGGAAAACTAGATATGTGTACGAGTATATTTATGAATGAGTAACAATATTCACAAAGATGAATAACGATGCAAATCTTGATGAATAATGATCTCATCCTAGATGAATAACAATACAAAAATGAAGAATATATGTAATTTTTGCAAGATGAATGATTGTATTTTAATAAATGAGTAATATATCGTTAGTGGATGAATAATGCAAAACAGAATGAATAACTTTGATCAAGAAAACTAACAAAAGTATATTTTACAATGAGATAATGTCAGCAACTAAGCTAATAAAATTCTAATTATGAAGTAAACTACTTCAAAATTGATGAGGAAAACTAGTCATTGTTTTTAACATATAAGGTCTTGAAAGATCCGCCGATGCTCAATATGTTTATGTTGATTGTTTGATTTCAGCAACTCCGCCAAATATTTGATTCGCGACCGATCGAGTTCACTTTGATGAGCAATTTTTTGACGCTGATCAAACAAAAACAACATTACAATATGTGAGATTTCACATTCAATCAAAATTCTGTTAATCATCGATAACAAGGCTATTGAAGATGAATAATGATCTTTAAAATGATGAATAACCATTAAAACTATATAACATGTCAGGTTAATATGATGAATAACCATTATATACTAATGAATAACTATTTCACCAATGATGAATAACTTGACAGGTATGATGAATTATTATGTTTTACTTATTAAAATCAGAAAATATAGTGTATTAGGATTATAAATTCGTTAGGAGGAATACTTATAGTTTTAATGATGAATAACTATATCTACATATATATGCATAGGTCATTCGAACAATACGTTGAACATATAAATAGATGAATAATCAAATAGTACGAATGAATATGATAAAAATACAATGTTCCATAGCATGCGTCATCCTAAATAGTTACTAGAAAAATCCTCTCCCCTCTCACTAAACACCCCCACCAACCGGAAACTTCCTCCCCCAACCACCATTAATGGTGGTTGGGGGAGTTCCTTTCTTTTATTTTTTCATCTCTTTCCGGCGCCAATTCCAGCGCACCCACCAAACCCAAAATCGTCGGAAATCAAAATTGGCTCTGCTGCCAATGGCCGGTTGAATGCCGATGAGATCCGCCCCGAACGCATCTTCAAATTGTCCTCCTTTCAAATCGGTGCAACCGGCTTTCTTGAGAGCCTCAGATCACACTCCCGATCTGATCCAAGTCTCCGTCGGAGACCACTTAAGAAGATGTTGTGGATTGTCATCTTCAGACATCACCGATCCCCGCCGCTGCATGCCGCTCCTGCTGCTGGATCCTCTTCGTTGATTGAATGCAAATGTGATCCACCTCGAACGCATTTCCCCTGTCCATAACCGACGTCGATGCAATTGGCTCTGTTGAGAGTCGCAGATCGTTCCCGATCTGATCTAAGTCGCTGCCGGAGACCACTTCAGGAAGATGCCGTGGATTGTCGCCTCTAGAAATCGCCGATCTGATGCCGTGGATCTGATTTGATCCGCTGCTGCACGCTGCTACAGCTGCTGCACGCTGCTCCTACTGCACGCAGCCCCTATTGCTTTCAGAAACCGCCGACCTCCTGTTCCTCAAACCATTCCACCACCCAGAGCCGGGTCACGGCCTCTCTATTCCAAAGCTGCTTTGTCGGTCACCTCTCCTGAAACCGGTTCGTTGATCCGCAATATCAAAACTGGTCCGCCAGTCCAAAACTAAAAACCCGGTTCACTGGGCTCCAGTTCAAATATCGGTTCGCCGGTTAAACTCATACAAAATTCACTATTCGGTCACTTTGGTCTACAAATGGGCTGTATCGGATTATGGGTTAGTTAGTTAGCCTTGTTGACTGTCGGCGATTTTCTCTATACTCACTGTCCGGGATTCTCAAATATGCCCACCAATGCGGCAGTCCATGAATGGTGACGGAGAAAATTTCTCTGACAAATACAAGTGTATTACCGGCTAGTCTTTTTTGATATAGTTTACTAGTTTTTAAATTATTGTCATTATATGACGTTTCTCATTGTACGGGGTAAGTCTTATGCACTGCTCCGAAAATTTTTGTTTTATTAATAAATTTCCAGGTACTTACCTAGTTTGATTAAAAAAAAAAATACAATGTTCCATTTATCTACTCAAATGAATAACAATTAACAGAAAAAAGAATAACAATCGCATAACACCATTATTATGATGAATAATCCTATATTATCGATGAATAATGGCAGGGTAACTGCTGAATAATGAACATATATGGAAATTTCCAAAATCAACCGATTGATGAACAAATCTAACAAATTGGTGAACTACCATTTATTATCAAATGCAGAGACCTTAGATATACATAATATAACCAAAAAACTAAATATGAATAACCAGCTAATAACACAATTATTATGATGAATCTGCTAGTTTCAATGATGAATATCGAATACGAACTAATGAATAATGTCCAGATCTATTAGTCTTTTCCAAAACCAACAACAAAACAATGAAGAAAACTTAAAAATTGATGAACAAAAATCTATAATCGAATGCACATACCTTATATCTACATAACCCAATAAAAAAAACACATTATTTGTTGAAGAGATTATAACCCAATCATAAACCTCTGGCGATTCACAAAATCTGAATTTTGTTCTTTTTCGCAAGAGATCTAAATCCATAAACCTCTGACAATTCATCGAACTGGTTGGAACTGGCAATTCAAAATTACCAATCAAAGATTTTGAGAATTTCAAACAAAATTCACCAGACAAAGCACAAAACAGATAAATAATCTCAAATCTTACCGTAATTCTCATATTCAGCAGCGTATATTGCAACCAAATTCACAGGATTTGATGCACAATCGAATTTCGTCTTCAAAAATACCACCGACGAGAGTTTTTGATGCCAAATCGCTGCAGAGAATATTTTATTTTTTAGATTTTTTAGTTTAAGACGTTTTTGGATTGTAATAAGAAGTGGATGGATATGATTAATGATGGCTAAAAATTAGGAGAGATATTAGGAAATTGGAAATTTTGAAAAACTTTTTTTTTTATCCTCTTTTTAGGCGCGTGAATTTCAAATTATGTACACCTTGGAAGGTGTATATAGGAGCTCTATATTATAACAGATCAAACTCATATGATACCTTGTTCATATTGTCCCATAGTCAACTCCAAGGTCAAGCCGTATCTCTGAAAGAAGCAAATCCAAAAGTAAGTAGTGGCCGAATGGAAAAGATCATCTGCTTCAGGGTTGTGTTTGTGATTTCTAAGAGAGAGATGATGGATTGATCACAAGTTTCTTCTAGTCCGACTTCAGTGAGAGCTTTTCCTGGTACTTTCTGCTCTTTTTCTATGCTTTTCTAGAGTTTCTGAAGATCACATTCTGTCTTGTTCCTCCTTGATGAACATGTTATTTCGATCATTTGTTTGAGTTCTTCATTGACTTGATAGTTTCATTTGTACCCATTGTGAAAAGAGCCAACAAAACTTCAAAATAATCCTGCTGAAAGAATGAGGATTGTTCATTTAGGAACAGCAATCTTGGTGTTTTTCTTGGTTAAAATCACATATTCATACCCGCGTCATTAGTACCAAGACTTAACTCATACTCCACCAGAAAACCCTCACATAAGATACACCTACACTCGTTTCAGAGAGATTGAAAAGCATTGTGGTTTTTTTATCTCATCTGCTTCTGAATTACCCCCTGAAGATAATCGAGGCGAAAGAATCAAGAGGGAGCTTTCTTTTGTCAGTGGAGATTGGGTTCAGGAATCCGGGGGAGCACCCTTTATGCCATTTGACAGCATAAATATCAAGTACCGATTTTGGTTATCACCCTCCACTCAAATTAATTTCTTTTTGACTTATGGATGTTGATGCAGTTCGCCGAGCAAAAAATACACTCAGTGTTAGTGGAGCAATGGAGATTGGTCTATTTTCATCTGATATATTTGCAGTTAAACCTTATAACTGGGCTCCCATGTATGATAAGATGCCGAGGACTACTAGGCTCACAATTCCATTCGAGGGAATCTATGTAGAGTCTCGCGAAAATGGAGGGCATAATTTGTTGTGTTTGTTGGGGAATGCAACCAGCCCTGCTCCAGGTTCAAGCCAAGAAGTAGGTTCTTTTGAACATAGAAATCCAATGAGTCCAATCAATCCATGTCTACTTGAATGCAACAACCTGCATTATGGAATATAAGGTGATCAGATCGTGCTTGTTCTTCAATACCCCAAGACCTTCAGTTTGACTAACAGAGGCATCAATGGTGAAATGATTAGCTTAAACCAAAGGTGGAACAGAGCCCACTTCGGTAAGATCCAGACATCATCACAACCGGGGCACTATCACCTCAATTACCAATTTGGATCGCATGAAATTCTGTCAAAGTTTTACAACCCATATCCTTATCCTGAGCCTTTGATTCGTGAAAACATCAACACATATAGAGGGGATGGATACTGCGAAAAGATGCGACAACTAATGTGGGGTGAAGTTTTTGAGCTGAATTCCACCTTGAAAAAAAACTGTCAGCCACAATGAACATAGCAAGACTGGGCCATTCTCTCTTAAAAAAGAGATCGAAGCTTCTTACAACACTACAGACAAACTCAGACTCATGTTTCAGGATTTATTGTGTGAGCCTGGAACTGATCTAAATAGGGAAAGCTTTGTTTTGGTTTCTGGTGTTCTCAGAGTAATACAAAAATCAGATCATTACTTATATAGGGAAGAGAAGAGAACATGTCTTTCCACCATGACCCTTTCTATGGAGGGGAAATGGCATTCTTTTGATGGGCAACTTTGTAGAGTTGGTTGCATTGGCCCTCCTGATGGTCTTTCAGAAAAATGCAATGCTCGAATCACTTTATACATCCCACTCTCTTTCTCCATTAAACAGCGATCCGCGGTGTTTGGAACCATAACGAGCACAACTGGATTACAATCACATGCTCCTCTTATGTTTCAGAAGCTGGTAACTAAACAAGAAGATACATGAATATGTTGAAGATAATTATGAAGAGTAGTTGAGAGGGATCAAATTTAGTGATAATTTTCTGATGAGTTATGATCGAGTGTGGTAATTTAATTTATTAGTTATCAAAAATCGTATTTATTATCAAAAGTAATTTTTATCCAATAATGTGCACATGCCTATAAATATGGCATATAGCTTTTATTTTGTATCACAATCAATACAATGTATTCTTCAAATTTATTTTCGTCAAGTTTCTCTCTTGTATTTTATTTTTCTTCATATTTTAGTTTTTCTCTTGTATCAGAGCAGGTTCTGTCCTATTTCTGCATATCATTTTTTTTTCGTCTTCAAAAAATAAATCATGGTTGATTGCTTCCGCGTACTATTTTTTTTATATTTTTTTAAAAAATAGTTTTATGATCATGTTCATTCATGAATATTTGTGTCATGTTAACTCGAAATTCATCAGAAATCACTATCTTATTTTTTCCTATACTATTAATCATATATTTCAGTCAGATTTTCTCAAGAATGACCACTCTCCATAAATCTCGCACAAATCAAATTCCATTTGAGTCACAATTTTTTTTTTCCACAAATCAACTTCAATTGATCCATAAATTTCAGTAATGGACAAAGAGGAAAAATATATACCTCCGAGTCAACCCACAAAATTCCCATCATGACAAACGTCTAATCTTTTCTCGAAAGAATTTTGACTTGTCATGTAACAATCTAACAATCCAACGAAAATTTTCATTATGACAAAAGTCTGATCTTCTCTCAAAAGAAGATTATTGACTTATCATACACCAATCTAACAGCACAACAAGAATTTCAAGCAAGTTGGCCAAAGCATGGGCAGAATTACTCAAGATCAAGAATCTCAAGAAATTTGACGCCATCAAGTCAGTGAAAGCAAATTGAGTCTCCAACTCCAACTCAGTTTGAGGGGAGATGTTAAAGATAATTATGAAGAGTAGTTGAGGGATCAAATTTAGTGATAATTTTCTGATGAGTAATTATCGAGTGTGGTAATTTAATTTATTAGTTATAAAAAATAGTATTTATCATCAAAAGTAGCTTTTATCCAATAATGTGCATATACCTATAAATATAGCATATAGCTTTTATTTTGTATCACAATCAATACAATGTAGTCTTCAAATTTATTTTCGTCAAGTTTCTCTCTTGTATTTTATTTTTTTTCATATTTTAGTTTTTCTCTTAATAGAGAACATGTTGTGGTGGACAAATGAATTGGACATAGAGTTGTTCAAAGCTAATGCAAGCAAAGGAATTTCAGAGGATAAGCAAGCCTTCAAAGTTAGGAAGTCTCCTCAGGAAGTCATTCTTCTGATATCCAGCATCCAAGGGCGATGATACTGCCAGCTTATCTTTCCTAGCAAATGATCCCTCCGTTAAACTTTGTGCTGTTCCACTCACTTTGAAAGACAACGAAGGATCTCAGGTGCACGTAGAAATAGAACTTCTCTCCATTGGTCCAATTTTACGACGCCATGACATCTCATATCAGGAGATGATTGAATATGAGAAGAGAAGTTCAGGCGATCATAAAGAAATCAAAGTCTCGGGTTATCTTAGAATAAGAGGTGGACCATTCCATGATGGAACACTCAATTTAGAAGGGATGTACGATCCGGCTGTTGGAATAATGTATCTGGTTGGGTGCAAGGATGTTTCTGAGTCTTCTCACTCCAAACTGGAAACAGGTTTAGACTATTTGATTGAAATTAAAGTGGAATACTATCCCAAAAATGCATGATGGCTCTTCAGCTCCAAGATCAATTTCTCACTCCAAAGCAGAAGGAGCAAAGCAGATCCATTTTAACTCCATCCAGTATGAGTAAACACATATTTGGCTTCTCGTAAAGAAAATTATGATAGAGCTATAGTGTTGATCCGGAAAGGCTTTGAGGATACGCTTCGAATATTGTCCCTCCTGACTATAATTTTTTGCATTCGAGGCCAAATTAGTTACTCAAGCAATCAGGAAAATTCCGCATCCAGGGTTTATATATCTTTGGTCATGCTTGGACTGCAAAGTATGAGCTTCATCATTCCATTGATCACTAGAGAGGAAGTGTTTCTGAAATGAAAATAATTCACTGAATACAGAAACGAATATTTTGATCCCAGCATGTGCCATGCATTCCAGAAGCCACTTGACTATGCTATCAAGATCCTGCTTTTGTTTGCCTTTCTAGAATCCAAAAATTTTCTAAAGAAAGTTACAAAATCACGCAAAGTGGAGAAAACTATTTCAGGAAAATTAAATCTCAGAATCCCAAGTGACAAATTGGTGTTCCTCTTGTCCCTGATCATTCATGTACTTGGTTTCTTCATTTTCCATTCCCTCTGAAAATCCTTTGGAACCCCTCTTCTTACCGAGTCGGAAAACTACAAATTTTCAAGTCTCAGAAACAGGAAAAATGGTGGACTGAGGTGGAAAACTATTCTGGGCTAGTTCAGAATTTCTTCTTAGAGCATTCCCAATGGCTCGTTTATGGAGAGTTTATTCTGACAGCAGGCCCACTCATTCTCTATAAACGGACGAAATACCATTGTGGGCAATTGGCGGCAAAAAAAAAGTTTATGCCCATAAACCTGAAGAAAGGCAATTCTGGCGGGCCATGTTTCTGAAAAAAAACAAAAGAAGACAAAACACATCATCTTCTGGGCCAATTTTATCTCTTTTTTTCCTATGCAAACGGCTATTTTCAATTTGATAACAAAATGCCATTTTATTTTCTTTTTATTTTGTTAAAATTCTTGTAGTAAAAAAAAAATTCCAACGGCCAAAAAATTTAAGTTTGCAACTGCTAAAAAAATATTAGATGTATTAATTTTTCATGCATTTTCTAATTTTGAAATTTCCTAACGGTAATAAATAAGAATTTTTTTATATATACTAATTAATTATTCCAAATTTATTTTCTATTTTAAAATTTATAAGTTGTAATAAAAATTGATGTAGTTTTATAATGGGTCCATGGTGGGTCCTTTCTATAAACTTGGTTATAAACTAGGATGGTTTATACCATTATGGGAAGAGATGTAATAGAATTTTTTATTAATTGTTGTTAGTGGAATGCTGATATGGACAGTTTATAGAATTAGGGTTGGTTTATGAATGAAGATACCCTTACTGCCACATATCATTGGCTATACTTTATGGGGAGTAAAGGGTCAGCCTTTGAGAAAACTGTACTATGTGGGATTCACAGCAATTAGACTTGTGCTCTGGATTTATGAATGTACCAGAAATCCCGTCACATATCCCAGACTTCCAGGATTTATTATTATCCCAGACAATAATCTCGAATTTCAGTACTTGAAAGTGGAACCATATTTTAAGCTTGGAAACATGGTGATCTGTGCAATTGTGGTGACATTTGCCTTCACTGTTCACATCCAGCAGAAATATGGCTCCAGGAAAATGAAACTAGCAAGGAAGCCAGGGGACTCAGAGGATCTGGATTCCAAGACTCAATCTTTACATCAAAGACTGCTCTTTTATTGATGAAATAATTTTATATTCTTTCCGTCCCAAAATGATTGTCAAACTACGACAAACAGAACAATTATTTGGATGCGCTTGCTTAAAGACTAAACTGTATAAATAGTCCCTTACATTTGTCCGAATTTAAATTTTGGTCCCCTACATCAACATGTATATGGATTGAGCCTTTACATTTCATTTTGAAACTTTTTTGGTCTCTTTTCACTGTTCCGTTACCATTTCCGTCTTGATGACCGTTGACCCTACCAAGTCAGGGATATTTTCGGAATGACACATATAAGATCAAAATAACAAATGTTTAAATAATCCCCTATATTTTTTTGAATTTAAATTTTGGTCCCCTATATCAACATGCATATGGATTTAGCCTTTACATTTCATTTTGAAACTTTTTTTTGTCTCTTTTCACTTTTCCGTCACCATTTCCGTCTTGATGACCGTTGTCCCTACTAAGTCAGGGGTATTTTTGGAATGACACATATAAGATCAAAATAACAAATGCTTTTATAATAAAATAGAATAAAATATTAAAAATTATTATTTTATAATAAAAAATTAAATAATGTAAAAATAAAAAAAATTAAAATGATTTCAAATTTCAAATTTCAAATTTTTTTTTCACTTCCCACCTTTGTGGGTTCCACATGCCAGTCAATTTTTCCCTTTGTTTTTGCTACAGTAAAAAAAATCAAAATTAAAAAGCAAACTTACATTCACCTGTCTTTTACCTTTATCCTTAAAAATTTTATTCTCATAATCCGAAATGTCATTTATTAATTTTATTCTTACCAAGTCACTGCTGGTAAAGGTAAAAGACGGGTGAAGGTAAGTTTACTTTTTAATTTTTATTTTTTTACTGTAGTAAAAAAAAGAAAAAATTGATTAGCATGTGGGACCTACAAAGGTGGGAAGTGAAAAAAAAAATTTTGAAATTTGAAATTTGAAATCATTTTAATTTTTTATTTTTATTTTTAAATTATTTATTTTTTTCTTATAAAATAATAATTTTAAATATTTTATTATAAAAACATTTGTTATTTTGATCTTATATGTGTCATTCCCAAAATACCTCTGACTTGGTAGGGTCAACGGTTATCAAGACGGAAATGGTGACGAAAAAGTGAAAAGAGACAAAAAAAGTTTCAAAATGAAATGTAAAGGCTCAATCCATATACATGTTGATGTAGGGGACCAAAATTTAAATTCGGACAAATATAGGGGACCATCTAAACATTTGTTATTTTGATCTTATATGTGTCATTCCGAAAATACCCGTGACTTGGTAGGGTCAACGGTCATCAAGACGAAAATGGTGACGGAACGGTAAAAAGAGACTAAAAAAGTTTCAAAATGAAATGTAAATGCTCAATCCATATATATGTTGATGTAGGGGACCAAAATTTAAATTCAGACAAATATAGAAGACTATTTATACAGTTTAGTCTCGCTTAAATACGAGTTTGTATTTCCGGTTATTCAACTTCTGTTCTCTTTAGTAATGGTTCTTGCTTGACTTGCAAATTCATTCCTTGTACAAAAGGGAAATTTGGCAAATGCACCATTTGTATTTGGCATGTTTTCTGTATGTAGCTGAGGCTCTATTGCTTAAAACGACGTCGTTAAGATGGGGAAACGCCAATACTTCATGCTATGGAGATAAAAACCAAAAATTGCCACTGAAAATCACTGAACAAAATTTTATCTTCTTTCTGGGTATGGCAGACGATGTCCACAAGATCATCCACCCTTATTCATCTTTATCCTTGAAACTGAAGCTTCCCAGTTCCCAGTTTCCCTCCATGCATGGCTTCCTTCCTTCCTGCCCAAAGTCCAATAACATTCGGCACTCAATGTGAAACAGTGAACCCTTCCAAATTTACAGCACCCCAGATTGTGAAATTGCAAGAAGTACATTCACAATCTTCAATTCATTATGCATCTTGTCTCAGTCAAATCTCATCGCTTTGTAAAGATGGCCAACTTCAAGAAGCTGCGGACTTGCTCACGGAAATGGAGCTCAAAAATCTCAATGTTGGGCCGGATATATATGGAGAGCTCTTACAAGGATGCGTTTATGGCAGAGATTTGTCGTTGGGTCAGCAATTTCATTCTAGAATTATCAAACTAGGCGAACCCTTCTCTAAGAATGATTTTATTGAAACAAAGCTGTTAATATTGTATGCAAAATGTGATCTTGTTAGTACCTCGTGTCATCTGTTCTGCAGACTTGGGGAAAAGAATGTGTTTTCCTGGGCTGCAATTATTGGATTGTATAGTAGACTTGGAAGGAGTGAGGATGCCTTGTTAGCTTTTGTTGATATGCATGAGGATGGAATCTTGGGTGATAATTTTGTTGTTCCCAATGTCTTGAAAGCTTGTGGTTCCCTGAAGTGTATTGAATTTGGGAGAGTTGTTCATGGTTATTTGATCAAATTAGGTCTTAATGAATGTGTTTTTGTTAGTAGTAGCCTTGTTGATATGTATGGGAAATGTGCTGTTTTGGTTGATGCAAGAAAGGTTTTTGATGGTATGGCTGAGAGAAATGTAGTTGCCTGGAATTCAATGATAGTGAGCTACGTGCAAAATGGGTTCAATCAGGAAGCAATTGAACTCTTCTATGATATGCGAGTTGGAGATATTGAACCTACTCGTGTTACAGTGTCGAGCTTTCTCTCTGCTTCAGCCAATTTATGTGCTGTTGAAGAGGGAAAGCAAGGTCATGCACTCGCGATTTTGAATGGGCTACCTCTGGACATTATTTTGGGGAGCTCTGTAGTGAATTTTTATGCTAAGGTAGGTCTTTTTGAGGATGCTGAGAGAGTGTTTCATCGGATAGTTGAGAAAGATGTGGTAACTTGGAACTTGTTGATATCTTCTTACCTACAGTATGGTTTCCCAGATTATGCCCTGAGTTTGTGCCGTCAAATGAGAATTGAAGGCTTTATGTTTGACTCCATCACTCTGTCATCAATATTAACCACTTCGGCTGATATGAGGGACGTAAGGCTTGGTAAAGAGGGCCATTGTTATTGTATCAGAAATCATTTTGACCCGGATGTGGTTGTGGCGAGTAGTATAGTGGATATGTATGCCAAATGTGAAAGGATTCAAGATGCAAGACGAGTTTTTGACTCAACTGCTGGGAAAGATACGGTCCTATGGAATACCATGTTAAGCGCTTATGCTGAACTGGGATTAGCTGGTGAGACAATGAAGCTCTTTTATCAGATGCAGTTGGATGAGGTGCCGCAAAATGTGGTATCCAGGAACCTGATTTTACTAGGGTTCTTGAGAAATGGCCAGGTTAGTGAGGCTATAGATATGTTCTCGGAAATGGTGGCAATTGGTGTAGAGCCTAACCTAGTTACTTACACAACTTTAATCAGTGGTCTATCGCAAAATGGTCATGGCCATGAGGCAATTATGATGCTTCAGCAAATGCTAAGAGCTGGATTTCTACCTAATGTGTTGAGTCTGTGTAGTGCTCTCTCAGCGTGTGCAGATATTGCATCACTACGGTATGGAAGAGCTATTCATGGATATTTTATAAGACGAAACCTTCCATTTTCTGTTTCTATCACTACTGCTTTAGTAGACATGTACTCTAAATGTGGAAGCCTAAGACAAGCAAAGCACATATTTGATATAACTCCTTCCAAGGAATTGCCTTCATATAATGTGATGATATCTGCGTATGCATTACATGGGAACACAAAGGATGCACTTGCGTTGTACAAACGTTTACAGGATGAAGGTATAAAACCAGACAGCATAACCTACACAAAAGTTCTTTCATCCTGCAGTCATGGTGGACTGGTGCATGAAGCTTTTAAGATAATCCATGATATGGTCACATTGTACAGTTTGAGGCCAACTATTGAACATTATGGATGTATAATTACACTTCTTTCTCGTCTTGGAAATTTGCAAGAAGTCCTGGAGCTTATTCAGACTCTGCCAATCAAGCCTGATTCCCATATATGGGTTTCACTACTTGCTGCCTGTCGAGAACTTAATGAGACTCAACTCGGAGAAACTATATCCAACTATCTGATATCCACAGAACCAGCTAATGCAGGAAGCTATGTGACAGTTTCAAATGCATATGCAACCGTGGGAAGATGGAGCGAAGTACTTAAATCAAGGGATCTAATGAAACAGAAAGGCATCAGAAAGAGCCCTGGTTGCAGTTGGATTCAAATTGGTGCAGAGCTTCATGTTTTTGTTGCGAGAGACATAGCTCATCCAGATTCTGAGAAAATATATTCAATGCTGGCTTTACTGGAAATGGACATACGGCAAAGGTTGTGTTTTCCCTTCCTTTAGCCCTTTAGTATAAACGGTAAGCTCACATATTCGGCCACCTGAGTAGAAGACAGTGTCGGTATTTCTAATTTTGGTGAGCCAGCAACCTTCATACTGCAAGTGAATTGGTTAACTGTAAGCCGTGTGTATCTATAGCGTAGGAACCATTTGGAATCCTTGTACATTCGAAAAGAGTGTAGCTTTGAAACGAAATAATGACAATAAACACATGGGGCTGATGATTTGATCAGTCATTACCGATTTCAATCCTTTTTTGTCCAGAAAAAGAAAAAGCATCAGTGATGCGTAGCATTATGTTGTAATTAGCTGATTGATTATAGCTCTAAACAGAGCTCTTGAACCCACTCAAAAAGTAAAGATTTGAGCATTGGGTTGGGACCAAAAGTGTTTCCCTACCATCATCCAAACTTACTTTTTGAACTGCCATTACATTACATGATATCTGTTTGCTGGAAAAGCAAGAATGGGGTACATATAAGTTCATAATATCCAGTGCAGATAACAAATCCAGCAGAAGCTTAGGAAACTGGATATATAAATTGCAAATTCTTTCAAGCAAAAAGAAACAGGACTTTCAATTTCACATGGTCCTGACTCCTGAGGATAAGAGATACTACTATGAGATTTCTTCAATTTGCTTCAACTTTTAACGGTTTTCTGTTCCCCACATGAGCTCATTTTCCAGATAATTAAAAAGACAATTGGACATAGATTTCCAAGCTGGATTTCACATGTACATTCTTAAATTAACGAAAACCAACGAATATATGTTTGGATTGGCCTTTTTTTCTCTACTGCTTCAGCACGAACGTGGGCTTGAGCATGTGAACAAAAGTTGCCATTTGCTCATTACTCTGCCCACAAGAACAACAACAACTTAGAATTTTTTACTTTGCTGCATCAGCAAGAAAAGAACCAAAAGCCAGAAGAGATATCCAATAATACAAAAAAACCATAACCTTTTTTCTCGTGCGCTCCCCGTCAGTAATGATGTTGTTCTTCCCCAGGTACAAGGAAAGAAATCCCACAAAATTTCAGTAACCATATTAAGTTAAATGTCCTAATTTCTTACGTAAATCATGGTTTTTTTTAACATTATCTTAAGTGGAATTTCTCCAGTACTTAACTTCGAAAACCATGGACAAAAGACAAAAGTTTCATTAAAAAAGATGGGTTACATTATTTCAGGGAAATAATAAAACACGCACACATACAGTTGGGCAGCCATGATTGGTGGCGCTAGAATTCATTCTTGCAAAGAGACATTGATTCCCACTCCCATAAATCATACAACTAAATCGAATAATCTAAAGCGTCTTTTTTTTCTTTTTTTTATTAAAAGTCCCACTCCGAAAGTCGAAGCTGATTTACTCTCCGGTAAATGAAGAAAAGTGACGAAGAAAAGCTAATGTCTTCCGCCAAGTCTTCAGTTAGGTATCCTAAGTCCTAAAGAACAACAATAATTATAAGGGATTTTGGGTTTTTTTTTTTACTTGGCATTATTAGTTCAGCATTGCTAATTCCACCATACAGCTCAATGCTCATTAATGCTCCTACAACACTAGGCAGTAGCAGGCACGTTTAGATTAAGAAAAGAAAAAATTCTAAAAAAGAACGTTTGTTTGCATCACTCACTTTTGTTCATGAAGAATATATCTGGAAAAGGAGTTTTAAAAAAAATCCCTTTTCTTACCTCACTTTTGTTTATGTAGAATATATCATATATGTCAAAATGTGATTGATAATATTAGAAGGGTTTATTATGTGTATTTTCTGAAGTTGATAAATTATTCCAAAACTGGCTAACTCCTTGCTAGCTTCATCTTGTATCTAATTCATGGAAGCATAGTTCATTTTAAACAAATTTAAAACTGCAATAACCTCTCCATTTCACAGGAAGGAATGGAGATTTTGATGCTGAAGTTTCTAATAATACATTATTCCAAAATTGAAGTTTAGCACGGATGGATGGGAAGAGGAAAGGGGCAATCAAACTGGACTGAAGCGAGAGGGGGTCTTTCCTTTTAGTTTTGTCAGGAAAGAAAGAAAGAAATGTGTCACCACCACAAAAAGTCAGCCAGGCTGTTCTCATAGCCCCACTCCCCCCCTCTCAAGTCCACTCACCTTACTGCTCATGATAACCTTCTTTACTATTTTCCCCCCACCCATTTTGATTTTCTCATTTCTGATCACCATTGATTTTATTTTGAGAGGATTTTGCCACATTGAAATTGTGTTTATTTATATATTTTTGGACATTTTGATTTGAAGATTTGTGATATCTGAACTCTAAAGAAGGGCCTCCTTGATATATGCACCAAATAACGCCAATTGTAGCATTCTCAAACCCCCCAATTGTCCCATTTTGTGCTTTTGTGTTACTTCGCTTCCTTCCAACTTGCTAGAAACCAGTAGTTTTGATTTGTTCAATACCCCAATATCATGTTACTAGGCCAACACAAAAACAAGCACTTCTTCTCCCTGCTATTTTCAGTTCATTAACATGTAGTGAAAAGGAAGTATTGAGTCAAGAAAAGTGAACACCGATAATAGACAAGAAAGGTTGGTGCTGAAAATGAAAGTTCCGACCACATTATCTGACTAGTCGGTCAGTTCTGACATGAATCATTGGACTTTAAAAAAAAAAAAAAAAAAGAGTGACAGAGTGAACAGTGTAGTAGTAAAATAATAGTGACCCATACGAGTGAGGATGATGAAGCCAAGACCAATGCATCGAATGAAGGAACAGTAATACTAGTATGAAACTTTGATCAAAGCAAAAGAATCAAATACACAAAGGGAGAGAGAGACAGCTAAAATCACTGAACTGAATGGTCAAAATTCCAATCAGTACATGGAATTCCCCAAGCCCCACAACACCAGATCCCTCTCAAATTTCCAGCTATCACCATTCACCAACCATGATGAAATCATCTACCCCTTCCCAAAAAAATAAATTCAAAACATATTTGATCCCACCAAGAAAATTGAACAAAAGAAAGAACCCCTACCAAGAAAAAAAAAAACAATAAATCTAAACAGATCACAAAAGGGTCAACCCGTACTTACAAATCTAAATAATTCTCAAGAAGAATCTTCTGGTTGCTGTGCAAATTAAAAAGAGTGACCATTATTTTTATCACCTTTTCCTTAATCTTCACATTTTTCCTAATAAATTATGTTACTTTTATTTGTTGCATTTTCTTCCCCCCCTTAAGGAGTGACACCCCGAGGTGAAGATCTTGATTCCTGAGGAGGTGTGTGGCCCTCTGATCCTTTTGAGGGATCGTCGGATGACTGCCGTAGACCATCATCTGTTTCGCCTCTGTTCATATCTTCGATCATTCTCACCACTTCATCCATAGCAGGCCGTTGGTCTGGTACTGTAGCGACACATGCCATTCCGATTTGAAGAAGCTGCACCATCTCTTCTTCCACATTGTGGTACCTCATTAGTTCAACGTCGAAAACTTCAGCTGTCCATTCTTCCCTCACAACACTCTGAACCCATCTTGGCAAATCAATGCCTTCTTCACCTAATGAAGCTTGATTTGGTGCTTTACCAGTTAAGAGCTCAAGGATCAATACACCAAAGCTGTATACATCCGATTTGAAAGAGACTTTACGGGTTTCAAGCACCTCTGGTGCCCGGTAGCCTGCGACTCTATGATTAGGAGGGCTTTGGTTAGAGAAGAGTGGATTCAATCCATAATCTGATACACATGAATCAGAATTGTCTTGTTTGAGAAGAATGTTGGATGACTTAATGTTGCCATGAACCACTTTTCCTGAAACATGTAGATGTGCAAGGCCTCTTGCTGCACCCAATGCAATTCTCATCCTATGATCCCAATCCAAAGGTGTCCGGCCAGATCCTCTGCTCCCTGTGAATGTATGACAGAAGTGCATTTATTATTTCAGCTCTAACAAGATTCACATTAAATTTATCATATTTGAAAATCACCAAGTCACTATTGCATTCTTTTTCTTGAAAATGCAATTTCCCACATTCAATTTTTCAAAATAGGTAGTACAGAAATTGACATTGAATTGCATCCGGCAATGTAGTTTTGATTTAAATTTTTATGCTTCATTAGGTGACCAAGTAGGACTACAGTCTGAACAGGCTCTGCACTCACACTACTGGATAGATAACCATGCATGTGAATGGCTTGTAATTGTGTTGACCAGTAAGGTGTCACAAACCATTGCTCCATAAAATAATAGGAATATCAGAAGAAGATTAGAAAACTAAAATCATGATCAAAACCTAAACATTTTATCTGATTTATTTTTATTTTTATCTATCTGATTTAAAGACCATTTATTTCGACAGAAGACCTATGTTGGGCACAATAATTGTACTGCAATAAAATAATGCTGGCATCTAGCAGTAAAATAGTAGGGAAAGCACTTAAAGGAGATCACTTGTGAATTACACTTTCAAAAAACTGTTACTGCACTACTCACAGACCAAATCAAAGGTAGCTTGCTTTACTCATTCTGGCGTAACACACGCTTTTTCAAAAGACATGGTTCCACATTTTATGAGACCACACAATAAAGTGCATCTTGCCCAAAAGCTTTTTAATTATACTGGTAGCAAAATGAAGTGGCAGACATGAACTTAAAGGAGAAGAAAATTTCAAGTTTCAGTAGATTTTCAGAAATCATAATCCCTTCTCCAAACATGGGCTCCAACTAGAAAAGAAAATTATCAAGAAAGAAAGAACAAACATGCATATCAGCAAGGCGGCAGAGTGCAGACCCAGTCTAATAATCTTCATTATTGACTAATCCAAATAAAATAACTTGATAAAATCAGTAAGTAACGGCCAATTATTAATGACAGTTGTAATGTTGCCATTTCGTTCTCTACCAAAAAGTGAATAACAACAATAACTCCAACTACTCTTTAAAAATTAAAGATTAAAAAATTGAGCAAATACAGTAGCTATCTAATAAGCACCTAGTGAGCAAATACAGCAGATGTTCATGTGAAGATTAACATCAAAACAAACCTAATTCAACAATCAAATTAAATTCTTCAATTAAAATGGAAATGTTCAACTGATTCAAGCAAGAAATATATAACCATTGATCATCAAATTTAACTTCGCACTGGCTGCGGAACTGAGATCAATGCCAGCTCCAGTTTCAGTCAAAACAAATTGGAACAGGAAATGAAAAAAATTGAACCTTTGACAAGAAGACAATCACATTGCAAACTCAAACAAAGGGAAGACAACTTACAGAGAAAGAATATAAGAAAAAGAACTGAAAACTCACCATGTAGCAGAGCAGACAAGCTACCAGCAGGCATGTAATCAGAGACCAGCAATTTCTCATCTCTGGAATAATAGTAAGCCCTCAAAGGCAACACATTGTCATGCTTAAGCTTCCCTAAAGCTTCCATAGTCTGCTCAAACTCTTTTTTAGTCACAACCACATCTTTCAGCCTCTTAACGACCACTGTAGTTCCCTCTTCCAGAACAGCCTTGTAACTGGTTCCCACACTCCCTTTTCCCAGTACTTCTGCAGAAGCTCTCAACAAATCTTCCAAGTCAAAGCTATACACCCCACCTTCAAAGAACACAAGCTTATTCCTTTCCTCTCCGGCGGAGCCACCGGTAATGTCATCTTTCGACGATGATGTTCCGGCCTCTGCTGCCCCTACTGACCCGACTCCTCCGGCTGACCTTGCTGTAGAGGTAGGCTTCTGAGCCTTTGAAGTTTGGCCCTTCCTTGATCTTCGTAAACAAAGGAAAAGAATTAGCAAAAGGAGGAGCAGAAACACTCCGGCGGCTACTGATATCCCAATTATTGCTCCCGTGGAGAGTTTTTTGGACTTTTTGTGGGTGGAAGTCGTCGGCGGCTCGGATTCCGGTGCAGGGGAAGGGGGTGGGAAGAATGATTTACACGGCGGAAGAGGGCCGCCGCAGAGGGCGATGTTTCCGGCGAATGCTGACGCCGGGAATTTAGCAAGGGTTGTCGGAATTGAGCCGTTCAGTTGATTATTCGAAACGTCAAACTTTACGAGCGCCGGTGGGTTAATGCTGGGGAGACTTCCACTGAAGCTATTGTTCTGTAGAAGCAGTCCGGTCAGATGGGTTAAATTGTTCAAGGAGAATGGAACCGGACCGGAGAAGTTATTACTGGACAAGTCCAGCCGGTTCAGCCGAGTCAACTCGGTGAGGCTCGCCGGAAACTCGCTGGAGAACTGGTTGTTCTGTAAGTATAAATTCCGCAAAGCCTTTAAATTGGAGAAGTCAGATGGAATCGACCCGGATAGACCATTGGACCGGAGACTGAGTACCCTCAATTGAGTTAACCGACCCAGAGTATTCGCCGGAATATCTCCAACAAGACCAACACCGGGAAGCCGGAGAGTATGAACAAAAGTCTTATTCGGGTCGCACTCGACCCCAACCCAATTGCAAGCAGAGTCGGAGGCATTCCATTGTAATCGATTGGCATGAGGAACCTGAGAATAGAAGGCGAGCAGTGCTTGCTTGTCTTGGGTCGGTTCAGAATTAGCCCGGAATTGATTCGGCGGCAAAGACAATAACAACAAGGCAAAGAATAAAACAGAGCAACAACAATCGGAAAACAATGCCATTGGAGAGAAAGATTGAAGCTTTCCTTTTTTTTTTTTCTTTCACTCCTCTTTTGATGTTGGGGCTAAAAGAATCGAAAAAAAGAATAAGTTGCAGGTAATCTGAGTATGGATGACAGAGCAGTATTGTGAGTGTAAACGGTATTGGAGTACAGACGACCAAAAGTGAGGCTCAAGTAAGATGCCATCATCACGAGGTGTGCGCTATTGTGTGTGTTTGATACTACTCTATCAAGAGAAAAGGAAGAAGAGAGCAAAAAAAGAAACAAAATTAAAAATTAAAAAAAAAGGAATAATTAAAAGGAAGAGAGAGAAAGAAAGAGGAAAAGAAAGTCCAGTTTAAGAGGAGAAAAAGATAGGATAGACAGAGAGATGAGAGAGGAGGAGGCCTTTCTTTTGCTGTAGAGGAAATTATCAGAGAGAAGAAGAAGAGAAAGAGGAGAAAACAGAAGGCTTTTTGGTTCACGAGAGTTAAAAAAGAGCACAGAAACAGAGAGAAAGGGAAACGAGTTTAAGGCAAAAATGGGATTAATAACTGGCAATTAACCAATTTTGAGCTGGGTTGCTGACGCCATACAGTGAATATTTTCTTTTCTTCTTTTTTACTATACCATATTTACTACTTGAATATTCAATTTTTATTGCCTTTATTATTGGAAACCATTCCCTTTTCTTAATTGCCAAAATATTAGTACGTAATTTCATTTAAGGAAAATATTATCAAGTTCAATTGACCGCTTAACCTTGTCTAATTACTTTCACCTTCTTTCTTTTCCTTTTTTTGGGAGGACATATAAAGAATAATAGTAGTAATAATTTGTTTCTTTGTTCCGGTGAGAAAACATATAGATTTATTAACACCGACCAAATGATAATTGTAATTAAGTTGTTTGTGTGCATTTTGATCCTGGGAGGATTGACAAATTACTAGACCAGAACACGAGACGTTGTTTTCTGCATTTTCACAACTTTAAAGATTACATCTTACTACTACCATTAGTGATTTACCATTGTCAGATGCGCTTTAACACAGCTTTTTTTTGCTTTGATTTTTGTTTAAGGAAAGGAAAGTCAATGAGTGATTTACCATTGTCACGTGAATTTTTTTTACTACAAATATGCGGTTTCATCACCGCCTGCATATTTCGCAAGTTAAATAATAAAGGACTTTCACAATAGCAGGGTAAAAAACGAGATAATTGTTACAATAAGAATGGAACCAGTAAAAAAAAAGAAGAAAAAACAAAAACTCAAGGTTTAAATAACGTAACAGATTAGATTGACGATAAAATAAACATTATCTCTGTTAAATTTTAAATTAATAGGAGGAAAATGCTGTTATAACGTAAGCCAAAAAAATTACTACCACTCATTAGTGATTTTTACCACTTCATCCAGCCAGCAGGATAGCATGGTATAATATGGAACGGACAGGGCTGACAGCGTACATTTGGACTTCGTAGATTTCGGAGCAGTGGTCAACTGGAACCGTCTTCGTAGATTTACAGTAAAAATTAATGTCCCACTTGAACCATGTCTAACGTTTAACGTGTGTCCAAATGTAATTAAATTGGCAACACTAATATTTATTTCTTTTGACCGAAAATCATTAAAAAAATCTTTAAAAAATAACTTTACTACTCCCATCATCCCGAAATTATTTTCGAGTTTTAATTTAATACTAGATGCTTGGCCCGGACAGATGCCCGGACGCCCCCTCTAAATTACTATTTTATTAAAATCTAATTGAATTACTATTTTTTAAGGAATTAATTTGGCGTATATATCATTTATGCTATGGTTTGGGGCTTAAAAAAATATACCTATAAATCTGAGGTTATAAGGGAATAATAAATAATTAATTTATAAGGCATTATTCTTAATTGTTGGATTTAGGTATTTTTATTTTTTGTTTATATTAAGCCTGCAAAACTATATGATTGGACATTTGAATTTGAATTAATATATCCATTCGTTTGAAATGTAACTGATCCTTATTTGTAGTAAAACATGTGTTTTTTTTTAAAAAAAAATTATATAGCTTCTAATTAAAAGAGACTTACACGTGGCAAAAAGACTTCTGAAATCTGAAATATGGTGCATTGTAGCCAAAACAGATACATACATGGTTGCCACATAAGCTTCATGTCTTCTGTTTTAATAGGGTAAAAGAGATTTCTATTGTCTCATTTTAGTTCATAAAAAGTATATTATTCGTACTCAGATTACTTGTCCCGCATTCGGCATTTCATTTCAATATATATTTTACTGAATTATTGTCATCCATTTGTATTTACCGCTAGTACTTATATATCATAACTGTCTACTATCATCTGTACCCTTGTTTGTTTTCTAATACAGCAGCTACGTCGTTTTATATTTGATGATCGCAATTCATAATGAAGAAAAAACCGCTCCATATGGAGCTCCTCTCCTCTATATGAGTGTTAAATTAATCATGACTTGAAACGGTCATTATATGAATCATTCATGTAGCTTTGGCTCCATTATTATTTTATTCATTTCTGACCTGACATAACCATACTTAATTTTTTAATTAACACCCACACGAGGTTTCTTTCTTGGTTTTCTTTTTCTTAAAAAAAAAATAAAAAACTTATTTGGAAAATGGACCAAATAATAATTATTAGCAGCAATCTGATTTTAGTTCATGGACACGCAAACATTTACATTTTGATCATATTACTTATCTTCTTACGGTTTAAGCTTGAAGATTAAGGTGTTTAATTTGGAGGAAAATTATGTAACATTAAGCAAAAACGTGGTTATCCCTTTACATTTGGAGCTGCTTTCTTCATTTTTTTTTCTTTTTTATAATGTTCAATGCTATCCAATTATTTCGTCCCGCCAACAAAGAATTGCCCAAGTGATAGTGAGCATGGCATCAAAACCTGAGGTTCCAAGATGTCCCAGATTCAAACCCCGCTAACAACACCTTTGTGTATTGAGCAGGTTATCTTACACCCGCCAGAAAAGCTTTTCGAGTACCAGATCAAGGCGTGCGTGCGTGAAGTCTCCCCCTTAATAGTATTACCCCCTTTCACATAGGCTTCACCCACATGTAATAGACTAGATACTTGTAATTGTGTATAAAAAAAAAATTATTTCGTCCCCTTCAATTTGCTTCAACTAGTTTTCAAGGCGGATGCTATGGATCCTTTTTAAATCCCTTTACGGAAGAAAAGTTAGCCAAACCCTTTTCAACAAAATATTGGAAACTCTCTTTGACAAAAATTTTTAGTCGTTGTTATATATTTTAAGTTAACTTAATAATATCTTTACACCTTGACCAAGTGTTCGTGGATATGTTAAATCATTTTTATTGTATTCTTAAACTTAAACTAAGATTTTGGGGACATTTAAAGCTTTTGTCCGATTCATGAACTCAATTTGGCATTAGTATTTTATTATTACGTGTATATAATTCCTAACTTGTGATTTATTATATTATAAAATTAAAATAAAATAATAAACAGAATAATTATTTTGGGGTATTTTTATGCTTGTGTTGGATGTAAGCTTTAAAAAAAGAAAAAGAAAAGGTTTTGAATCTTGGAGGAGAAAGTGTTTAGCAATTCGAACTACTCTTCTCCTTCAACTTCCGTTGGTCATCTAATCATGTTATTAACCTCGTCCCTTTCAATTGTCCCGATCACGTTCTTGAAGAATTTTTTTGATATGATACTTGTTGGATAGAATTAACCAAAAAAAAAAAAAAGGAAAAGAAAGATCATTATGATCAGAAGGTGACATCGACCGTGACTATATATTTGACAAACTTGAAAATAATTTAATGTATTTTTTGTTTCTTTCTCATTTCGTAAGTAAAAATGGGCAGCGAAGAATTCAAAGAAAGAAGGATCGCCTATAATATTAGATAGATGAACACTGTATGATAGCAATATTTTATGATTGATAAGAATTGTAGATTTGCAAACATAATATTTTTTACACTGCCAAACAATTATTATAAGTTTTAAGGACTTTTTTTTTTTATTCGATAGGCAAATAAAAAAAATTATATTCTCCCTAAAAATACTCATTACTGTGGCACCCAATTTGTAAAAAGTTATAATATACTTCGACATAAAAAGGTTTCATAGATGATTCGATTCGAGTCATGAAAGAATAAAAAAAAAAGAAATTACTGCTACGATTTTTTTAAAAAATTTAATTCCTAATTGTTTTTTTTTTTTTTGGGGGTCTAATTGTTGTCTGCTGAGGTAAGTCGTTTTGTGGGTTTTATTTAAGATTGATAGTTCTTATGTGGAGGCTGGAATAAAACCTGATGCATTTGGACTGGCATTTCTTGTAGAATTGTTTCTTACATATTACCAATGATGTACCCAAAAGCAGAAAAACGTTAAAAACACAACATGATATGACAAATTCCAAATGTAGTTACAAAAGCACATTGATAATCAAGATTAACTTGTCATTAACGACACGGATTGCGAAATTTGTGGCTGGATTACCCATTCACTTTTCTAATTACTAATAAAGTTATTATTATAAAAATCTTGGATATAACTATGACCTGTCATTTGTTCAATACCGGCTTTCAGGGAATAAATTTTGAAAAAGATACAATTTAATTTTTCTTTTTTTTTTGTTTTGGTTTGATTTGATAAATTTTATTTATTTATTGAATGGTTGATGAAATCACTTATAATACATTGTATCTCTGTATATGCATTGAACTACTTATCACTATTTAGTATCTGCACTTGTATTTTTTATTGAGTAAACTAATTCACATGAACTAAACACCGCTAAAAATTTAGAAATGACATCCATGAAATGGTATAAATGTAATCAATAATTGAAAGGTTATAATGATATGGATGGAATTATGTTCTAATTACTTGCATTACTAATTCAATCGTTGAGTTTCGACATGATAATTTCTCTTTTAAAAACATTGTTTTTTTTTTTTAATTTTGAGACGAAAAAATACACTACTGGACCAAATTAACTTTAATTTCTGAACTGAAATAGGTCATCTATAGGGATTGTTAAATGCGTTATTCACTTGATCAAGGAACCAGAATAAAAAAGAGGTATGCACGAATTTTTGTTGTTGGTCTAAAAATAATTAGAAAGGACAAAACATTAATACTGCGATTTTGTATTTGTGTGTATGACTTTGGCATTTTTGAGTCGTTGACTTCGCATAGTGTATTACTTTACTTGCCTTTACCCCGCAGCGAAAGAAGAAACGGCAAGTTATTTTCATGTCGAGTTCATAACCTTTTGAGCCAAAGGAAAAAAAAAAAAGATAAAAAAGTATTAAAAACTGCACCTGGTTTATAAATTTAAAAAATGATTAAAAAACTGTACCCAACTAATATTTACTTCCAATTTTATTGAAATGAGTACATCAACTCCCAAAAATCAAAATCACAAAAAAAAAAATTCATTTTTTTTTCAGATGGAGCAACTAGCTATGTATACTAGTAGTATTTTTTTTTTTTTTTTGGGTGGAATTTCGGGGCACGCAAGCAACTTCATCAAAATGATAAAAGAATGTTACATATATGTGGAGCTTTCGTGGCGTCAAAGGATGAATGAAATGGTACCATATAAAAGGGAAACACTTATATATGTAATGATTTCAATCAAGAAAAATGCACTGATTATATGTATCCATACGTAAACCAATTTCATACTTCATCTTTCGTTCTGATTAGCCGTTTACTATAATTTCAAATACTGTATTTTTCATTTCTTTGAACTGAAGAAGGGTTATTGATCATGGCAATCATATTTTATGATTTTATCTAATTTTTTAAATATTGAATGGAAGAAAGAAAAACAAAATAAAAATAGACACTTCAAAAACTGCACGGTGTTATCACTGTTATGTACTATATTATGGCAAGAAGCTCTATGGTTGGATCGTTTTTTCAATGTGTGTTTTTAGGTGTTTTTTGTATTAAAAATGTTAAAAGGTGCATTAAAAATGTAAAAAGGTATATTGGGATGAGACAGTTATTATTTAATTATTTTGAAAAAACCATAAAAAAAACCTTCCAAAACAGAGCTTATATATATGCCAGGAGATTCTATTCCAACAACCTAGCTAATTGGTCGACCATCAACCAGAATAATGTTAGCTAACTATATCTATATATTAGGTGGATGAATTATATGTTCCCCAACAATTTCACATTTCCAAAAGATTAGGTTGTACTAATTAATCACTATATATTTATTTGTCCAAAATTATTGGGACAAAGGGTCGTTGCTTTTGCATAATCGTAACAAAAAAGCTTATTCATGATTTCAACCAAATTGGAATAGAAATCTGGGGAGTGGTTTGCATGAATAAGGTCAAACAAATATTACCTTTCGGAGAATCTTTCTAAACTGGGGAGAATGATCAGTTCACTAGAATTTTGGAATAAATGGTCCGAGTGTATTCGTATGCATTAAAACTTTGAAAAATTGAAATCGGAAGATTAGTCAATATGGAAGCAAAGAGGATTTAAACCCTAACTGAATGTTATCAAGACGTAGTTTGTATATCTTACACTTCAAAACGTGCTTAATATTTTGAACTGAAGATATTATTTTCTAATCCGCGAATATATTTAATCATAGTCCGAACCCTAATTCTAGGGGAACCATCACCAATCACCAATCTTACGAATCTTGGTAATTTGGTCATTGCAAAAGGTTTAAAAGACATTTAAAACCTAAACACTCGTAGAAAACTGTTTTAGAATAACTATTCAAGAATAGAAAACTGTTTTAAAATTGGTCAGAAAATCAAATATATCTTACTCATGATTTTAAATATTTGAATCAAAATCATCTCTCCTGATTTTGAATATCTCATTGCATTATGATTATTATACACACTCGTAGTACATATCACTCGTAGTACATATCCTAGGTTAATGAAATTGAAAATACCTTCACGGATTGTAGGAATTTGAAAATTTTGCGCTCTCTGGATTCTTTTGAGCTAATTTTTCACGCTAAAAACTTGAATGATTCAGAAGTGGACCCAAAGTTATGAAAGTACTCCAATAAACATGGGCCTATTGAAGAAGAAAACCCAGAGTTGGTACTTCAAGTTTGTGCAGAACCATATGGTTTCATAACTTTGACTTTGAGTAGACCCAATTTCAGCTGTCTTACTAAACTACTAAGCTCATTCATTTCGTCAGAAATCTTTGACTAATAATCAGTTCCAATTCTGATATAGTACCCGCCAAAGATCAATAAAAGCTAGCACCTGAAAACAGCCTCATTATTGGGTCTCAAGCGTTGCCCGTTGGCATAGTTGTTGAAACATGGCCTAGTTTCAAGAATTCAAAAGAGGCCCAAACATCATAAACATCAACAACCACGATCTCAAATTTTTCACATTGTACATTAATGTTTGTCGTTGTAGATTTCTAACGCGCATATTCTGACTGACAAAGGCTGTCTCGGTGGTAAATTTATCTTTAATGAAAATCATTTGCAGTTCATAATAAAAAGTAGTACTCCTTCCGTCTCATAAATATTGTCCACTTTGATTTTTCATTTATAATTTAAATTGTACTAAAAATGAAATCTTAAATTGCACAATAATTTGGGACGGAGGGAGTAATAGAATTGTTTTTTTTTTTTTAATATTTACAGAGTGTTCACCGTCGGTAACAATGACTAATCTCTTTCGTTAAATTGTAGGCACCTCGATGGGTGGGACAACTAGCCAAAGCATGACTAATAGAATTGTTTTGTATCATCATAATATAACGAGTTGGATTTAGATTCTTTTTTTAAAAGAAATCAAGACTAGCCCGTTCACGTAGGAATTTGGACGAAAGTATTTATGCATCACTAACGCTCATTATTTTGGGCTGAAGACAAGAACAGCTACTTTTGGGCTCAAAGCTCAGAATATTAGTTAGGGATGCAGCGCAAACTCGTGCTATAAAAGGGAAGAAAATGATGTTCCAAGTAGGAGACATCATGGAATCCAGCTAAATCCCAGGTGGATCTCATTGTTTTCATCCATTTGTAAGGTAGTCCTGGTAGTGACTCCTCATGAAATGTGGGAACTAGGAACCAATACTACAAATAAAACCCACCAGAATTTATTCTCCAAAAGCCCAAGAAAATGACGCAAACCCCCTAAATAATCCGGAGCTCCCCCAATATTTGGGAAAACTATTAATCGCCTATGGAGATTTTAAAAAATTTATTACGATTACTCTCTTAACGGTAGTAATGTATCAACTCCCTTAAAAATTGTTCCGGCGTGTAAATTGACGCACTATAAAATATTACGAGTACAAGTTATTGTACTCCCTCCGTCCCATAGTTATTGCCTAGTTTGGATTTTCATTTTTAGTTGAAATTATATTAAAATTGAAATCTCAGACTGGACAATAATTTTGGGACAGAGAGAGTGATAGAATTTTTTTTTTTTAATATGATATTGAGTTAACCAAGTCTACTATGTCACAATTTATTATTTTAATAGGATTTCATTCCAATTCAACTCATATATGTTGTGAGAATCAGGAAAAAACAAAAGAAGAAGAATACTAATAAATGAAGTTTGAAAAAATGAATATCTTTTTTTTTTTCTAATTTTAGACAAAATAGTAAAATTAATACTGTCATAAATGAGAATATCTATTTGTTTGATCCCTTATTTATACTAGGGGTAATGAACAATAATAGTAGTACTATAATGATTGGTGAGTTAAAGTACATTTAACTTTCTATTGATAGAGAGTGATTATAATTATCATCATAAATTCTGAGGGACTATCCGTAGCTTTTTCAAAATTTCATGGGAGGCTACGAGAATTTCCTATTCAATTCTCAGGAAAGAACATTGGTAAAATAATTGACTTTGTTACTGGAAAACTGGACAAAACATCTGGATCAGCTTCTTCTGAAAATCTGACCCAATGGCTAATCCATGGAACATTTGTGTGGTTCATTGGTATCCACGACCACCCAGAAAATCTATCTTCTTCAAAATTTTAGGAGCTTTGGACCCCCACTTCTCCCCTCCTGATTCTCCTCTGTTTCCTTTCCCTCTCCTACTTGTCACCTAAAACCCATGATAAATCTCTCTTTGTTGCCATTTGAAGTTTGAACCATCTTTCTAGTCTATATAGCACACGTTCTGATTCTTGTAGTCTTGCATTTCTTGATCCCATAAGAATATGGCTTCTATTTCAAGAATCGTTGCTAAAGACTGTAAATTGCATTCATGGGATGCTCTCCAAAGATCAAGTTCTGGGCTTTCAGCGAGGACCCTGCCCGCTAAACTGAGTAAGTGTAACTGGTGATTGTTAAAGTTGGTCCCTTTATATAAAAATGATTTGAATTCTTGGATATGATTTGCTTTGATTTTAGCTGTTTTTGTTGTGCCGAGTATTTCAGTACTTTTGAGTATTGTTGTTGTTTTTGTTGACTTTAAGGTCTGAGATGTGGAATTTCTGTGCCTGACACTGGAATTGGTGGCTTATCAATCCGGACTCAGCCTCAAAGATCCCTTGGTGCCGTTTCTCCCTCTTCGTCTCTCAACAATTCCTTTTCTTCTAGGTATGTCCTGTTTGATGGGATGGAGCTCGAGTTCTTGCTTAAGATAGCTTCATTTTGATGATCAATGTTTTTCAAACCACCATACTCTTTCATGGTCAAGTTTAACATTTATTCTTCATTATTATGTTTGCATAAATTTGTGGTTCGCTTTCGTTTGGTTTTTTGTTCTTAGAATGATTTATATCCATAATGTTATCATGCGACTGTAGAGATGTCCTTCTGTAATTGATTTACTTATGTTGATACCTTTGCGTATGGGAGTATTTGAATGTTGATTTTCTATGATTAGGAATGTAGATGTTTCCTGCAAGGCAGCTACAAATGTACCTGGAGATCTTCCTAGCAGTTCTCCGAGTGGAATGACCCAATATGAGAGGATAATTGAAACATTGACTACTCTTTTTCCTGTTTGGGTATGTTGTGTCAATTTAGTTAAAAAATTAAGCTATCTCTTTCACATGGTTTCTACTGCTGAAAGCTATATCCATTTCAACCTCAAAACTTTGTTAATATCTTCAAATAAGACTCCAATTGAGATCTTTTGTCTTCATTTGATAGGTTATATTGGGTACAATAATTGGCATCTACAAGCCCTCAATGGTAAACTGATATTTATTCTTTGCCAATATTAGTGGTAGTCGCATCAACAATCTCTTATAATTTTAATCTAACAGGTAACTTGGTTAGAGACAGATCTTTTTACGGTTGGTCTAGGTTTCCTTATGCTTTCGATGGGATTAACACTTACGTTTGAGGACTTTAGAAGATGTCTACGGAATCCTTGGACGGCAAGTTGCACTATCTTTCCACTTTGATGCCACTTCTGTTATTGCATGATGTTACTCTTTTCGTAATTGTCTAACAAATGTATTCTTATATCTTCAGGTTGGTGTGGGATTCCTTGCTCAGTACCTTATCAAACCCATGCTAGGCTTCTTCATTGCAATGGTATGCACATCCTTGCCCTTCGTACACTGGTCTTCCTCTTGATTCTTGGAAAATTTCCAAAAAGATAATGGAATGATCTCTTTTTGTGGTCCTTTTGTAGGCTAAGTATGCATATCACACAGTTGAATGAGAAAGTTTGTATCTATATTCCAAAATTTTAGTGAGTAGCAAGACCGTTAAGTTCCTCAAAAGCTGAACCTTGTGCATTTTGATGAGATTTTGCTCATTTGTAACAAAAAGAAATAGTTATCTCCATTGTGAATGAATTCCTTTGAATTGGGTTCCTTATGCCTGCCAAAAAGTTAACTTAGATTTTCTGAAAATTGACAACTCTACTGCATTTCTCCAACATCAGAATTTTGCACTTGATCCCTGTGCAGAAAATTGATCTCCATGAAGCCATAAAGACAGATTTTGATATATGTGACTTTGTTCCTATCATTATGTATTTTGGAATTAGAAGGCAATGATGTTGGTTTGTTGTGGCCCTTGAGGTTCTCTATCCATGCATATTTGACCCATGGATTAGGATTATAGTGCTAGCGTTTCCTTTTTCCTTCACAATCTCTAATATGCATTCAATTTTGGTCCTTATCAATTATCAAAAACTTTTTGGTCCAACACTAGCTTAATTTCATGGCTAACAGTCAGCAGAGTCAACTGAAAAAAACTGGAAAGATTTTTGAGTATTCTTATGCTATAGTAGTTGTTCCATTCTGTAGAAACTATGTCATGCTCCATTTAATGTTGGCCATCACTTACGTTTTGAATACTATGCAGACTCTGAAATTGTCAGCTCCCCTTGCCACTGGTCTGATTCTTGTGTCATGCTGTCCGGGAGGTCAGGCATCGAATGTTGCAACCTACATTTCAAAAGGCAATGTAGCACTGTCTGTTCTCATGACAACGTAAGTTTCCTCAGCAAGAAGAAAGAATAAATGATTGCCAGAAATTAAATTTCATGTGTACTTCAGCCGGAACCCGTGAATCACCGTTAAGCAGTGTTCTGAATGTGCTTTTAATGGTTTCTTATCATTACAGGTGTTCAACTATTGGGGCTATAGTGATGACACCACTGCTGACTAAGCTTCTTGCCGGCCAGCTAGTCCCAGTGGATGCAGCTGTAAGTTGGTACATGCATTAGTGTTTGACAAGTATCTACTGAAGCCCACCCTCAGAATCCAATTTTGTGCTCTTAATTTTTAAATAAATTGTTGATAGGCTATACTAGTCCAGTTGTGGAATTTTATGCTGATAGTTTGTTAGAATTATATTTGATTTAAAGTACATTCCAGAATCAATTACTAATTTGATTCAATGCTTGTTTTCTTTGGATTATATGACTAGCTACATTACTGAGCTGCTGATCAAAATTCGCTCATATGAAATGGCTAACAATAGTTTGTCTTTCCTTTCTCATACCAGGGCCTTGCCATTAGCACATTTCAGGTTGTCTTGGTTCCAACAATTGTTGGAGGTACTGAATTGCATTTGGTATTTATTTCAGTGTTTTATTTTGCATAGTTGTCACATTCTCCTGTGACATATCCCAGAGAATGTTAAAGAATTCATTACCCACTTTTGCTTTGCTTGACAGTGCTTGCAAATGAGTTCTTTCCCAAGTTCACGTCAAAAATTATCACCGTAACACCTCTTATTGGTGTTATTCTCACCACTCTGCTCTGTGCTAGCCCTGTAAGTTTATTGCCAGTTCACTATAGAAATCATTTTTAAAGCCTTTTAACATATTTCTGCAGTAGTTTGATGCACAGAAATGTTTTTTCCTTTGTTTAAGATTGGTCAAGTAGCGGATGTCTTGAAATCTCAGGGAGCACAGTTATTGCTCCCAGTGGCCCTCTTACATGCTGCGGCATTTTTCCTTGGTTACTGGATCTCAAAATTATCATTTGGCGAATCAACTTCCAGAACCATATCCATAGAATGTGGGATGCAGGTACTTATTAGCCTGTCTACTTATTTAAGCTTATAAAAGCAAATTCATCAATACCTAATGACTATCCATATATGTGGAACACTGATTGAAATTGAATGTATTTACATCCAATGCGTTCTTTGATATTGCAATCTTTGTGTCATTTGATCCAATGTTCTTGTTTTGATCAAATCACACCATTCTTGTGCAGAGTTCTGCTCTTGGTTTTTTGCTTGCTCAAAAGCATTTCACCAACCCTCTTGTAGCAGTACCCTCTGCTGTGAGCGTCGTGTGCATGGCTGTAAGACTTTCTGCCATATTCCTAGTACATTACGTCTGCTCTAGGCTGTGCCCGTTTCTTATATATTCACATGATTACATTTGCAGCTCGGTGGAAGTGGTCTAGCTGTTTACTGGAGGAACCAGCCGATTCCAGTTGATGACAAGGATGACTTCAAGGAGTAGAGCTCAAGAAACAATGTAGTGATTCATTCGATTTCACCGTGTTAATTTGGTAGCCCTCCAGAATGCGGGAAATATGATATTGAGATTGGATTGTGGAAAAAACACAGTTTTGGACTCGTTGAGTTTGTTGCATAAATATGTTAGGTGGGATGACTGAACTTAGAATTTTCGAAATGGTCATTAGTGGGAAAGAAGAAGACTTAATAGTATTATATTTTAAGATTACCATCCCAATTAGAGGGTGCAAAATCTTTCTATTTTGGGCTTTCCGCTGTGTTTGTCTGTGTGTTGGGGCCAAAAGGTTGGAGTTGAAACATGAAAATTGAAAGAAATAAAAGAAAATCAAAGGATATTTGGCACGAGTCCTGATAGACTCAACGAAAGAGTTTTTACAACTCTTCACGAATCTGAGGTGGCTCCTCCACGTCATTTTTTTTTAAATAAAAAAAACCTTAAAACTCCGTTTCTCTCTCTCTCTCTCCCCTCTTCAATTCTTTTTCTGTTTTCTCTTCAGCCGTCTCGGCGTCTCCGCTCCTTTCCATTGCCGCACCGGCCCTGGTTCAATATTATTTTTCAGAAAATAATTTCTTATTCTCTTCTCTTATTCCTCCTTGTTTTCTATCATTACTACTTTGAGACTTTCCTGCTTGTTAATCAATCATCAAAATTCGCATCAATTCTAAGTTTCTAACTTCATGGATCCCGATGTCAACGCGACCATGTCTTATTCTAACTTAATCGGGACTGGAATATTAGGTTGAATCCTTCCTCGTGAAATAATTGATGATATTTGGGATATGTTTTTCAAAGTATCAATCTATTTGTGGTCAATATTAGGGATGAGATCTGGGAGTGCACAAGTGCATACTATGAAATTTGGGTAGTTAGAAACATATTGAATCGTGTGTGGGCAGGATCAATTTTATCAGCTTCCTTGTCTGTGATCCTTCATTGGTTAACATTAAAATTTGGAAACATCCTCTAATAAAAGATTCCGGCAAGATAGGGGAGCCGCGGCTCGCCGGAATTTTTTTTTTTAATATTTTCACGTTCGTTGTGCTCTCATATTTTTATAAATATTTTTTAAAATTTTTTTATCAATTAAAAAAATATATTGTGTGAAATTTAAGACAAATCAGAATGTCTTATATGAGACATCAGAGGGAGTAAAATTGAATTTGAAAGAGGTAAAAAAGCCTAACTTGTTAAACAATTATTTATTAAAGAATTAAGTTCCTTCTTGTCGCACGTTGCGCGACCAGTTTGTATTTATAAATTTCACTACTTTTTTTTAATCATAATGTTATTTTTTTCCCATTTCCGTCTTTTTATCACAGAACAAGTATTCTGACAGATTTGATTAAAACAGAAAGAAAAACTATAAGTAGAACATGGTCAAAATACTGTAAGCCTGGTAATTTGGCAAATAAGACAAGTTGAATACCACTATTTTTCAGTGTTTAAATAAAGAATATTAGTCCTCCAATGGATGTTGAGAACACTCTACCCCATCCCAATTTTTTTTTTTTTTTTTTTTCCAGTTTAAGCAAAAACCAACAGGAAATGAACATACGGATGATGAAAGTGACATTCAAACTTGAAGTAAAGGAAAAATGTCGTTTTTCCTCTTTTCACCTGCACAAAGCACAACCAGGGCATTGTCAAAGTACAGAGCTTTCTTATTCAACAATGAATCCTGAATCCCATTGTTTTCCAATTTTTCCCTCTGAAGAAGTACTATTTCACAGCACGTCCAAAACTTGTTCACAATCAGTTAACTTTTTATCTTTTCAATTCAGACTATTACATAATTAAGAAAATTAGTAACAATAAAGTATTTCAGAGACCATATCTTACTCGAACTCATTATAGTTTTGATATGGGAGTGCCCCTTGTACATTCTTAGATACCTTCCTCTTTTGGGCAGTAAATACTCATCATCAATATCAGATTTCGAAGCTACAGCTTCTATATTTTGAACCAGGTGTGAGAGATGCCAAGTCGATGTTGTGTTATCTCCTGTCATAATGCACCAAACCCTCATGGTGATTGAATTTTTCTTTATCACAACCCACTGAACCTTTACCGCTTTCTTGGCCAGAGGAAACAGTATCGTCTCTGTAAGATATGTGCATTGTACAAAAACGTCAAACAAACAAATACCAGGTTGCGTGTAGGAGCAATCCAACTTACAAACTGAGATTGTGTTCTATTTTAAATTGATTTTCATTACCTGATATACTCAAAGATTAAGTAGGTGTAGCACTGATAGATATTCCTCCTGCATTAAGCAATGAATTATCATGACATATAGAACATTATGATTATCATAGCTATAGGCTAAATCCGCAAAAATTACCTGAAAGATGTTATTCACGAATATGTATCACTTGGTCAATACCATAATTACTAAGCTAAGTTTTTCATTCTCAACAACATCTAGCAAAGTCATGGTACAAAAACTACATTCATATAATACAGAAACACACAAAAAAAGAAAAAATAGAATCGGATTAAGGAAACAAAGAAAAAGGTCAGTTAGCTAGCCAAAATCAAATCCAAACAACTCGATTTAAAGCAAAATTCAAACAAAAGTCCAAAAAATGTACCATATGATGCACTGACATTCAAATGTAAATTATTATTTATCACACCATAGTTATTCCTAATCCTAATCCTAATCCTACAGACCTTGCTGTCTAGCTTTTCCTTTAACTTTATGGGTACAACAAGATCTTAGTAGCGGCACAAAGTGGTAGATAAATCAGCGAAAATCGAAGACTTCAAAGGAGAACATATTAAATATCAATTATATTTCCCTATGACTACCTTTTAAGGGAAAAGAAAACTATTTCCCTCATTAAATTCGCCCATAGCCAGTAGTGCCGCTCGATCAGTCGGTGAACCGGACTATGGTTTAAAGTGAAACCTATTAATATTTATTTTATGTTGTAGCTGAAACATCAGAGTGTGGGACTTAAAACATCCTCCATTCGATAGCTTACTTAAGCTTTAACTCTATGTGCGTTTTTCTCAGCTGCATGGGAATCAAACAAGATGGAACAGAACGTAAAGTTGCAGAATTTACCACACATAATTTTAAAACGATTGCATGAGCGAGGGATCATATAAAGCTACCAAAAGAATTAAAGAAATAGCCTTAGAAGAAGGGGAAGAAGCATTTTCCCTCTTGGTGAAACCCTATATCAACTGTCACTGTCATAACCATTAGTCATTACTATCCCAAACAAAAAGCTGCCTCCACGTTCGCGCAAGTACCTATTGGTACCAAATACCCGAGTTTTTACATCTAAGAATTCACAATCACCTGTACATTAGCCGGACAAAACTACCGTTGAGCGCCAGAAAAATAAAGGAACCATCACCAACTCGGATAACTTCATAATTGGAGAGGATTTTATAATTAAGGAGGCAATCAGCCAACCCTGTTGTTTACTGTTGTTACCTGATTGAGAATCAAAAGTGTGTATGACTTTCAGTGATTCCGGAATTAACTACAAGCACAAGCCTGTCTCTATGCTCAATTCCATAAGAAACCGAGAAAACTCAAAAAGCAAAAGTCAATACAGTTCTTCAAAGTCAATTTGATTTCAGTTGTCAGTTTCTTTGTTTCTGACACCGCGCAAACCTTCACCACCAGCCAACCCCCTGCAAATCCCCCACCTCCGCCAGTATTAAATCCGATTCATATTACTTTCCTTCAACCATTACCAGGCAGTTCGTAATCAAAACAATAAGAGCTTACCTTGGATTAGGGCACTCTTAATCCACTTCCGATGAATTCCACCGCTATGGCCACCTCCTCCTACACGTTCAACAGAATCACCCAGGTGGACCATGACGATCTCCTCCTTGATAACTACCCCTACCTCCGGGAAAACAGAATCCATATTTGACGAAGCATGGATTTGTACGGTGCTTAAGACGAGTGGCGATGATGACCTAGGCGGCGGCGGACGGCCCAAAACCTGCAAGACAGAGCCTCGAGTGTCTCCTGAATAGACTTTCCGATACTTAAGTCAATAAGAGAATAAAGAGAGTAGAGAGAGAATGATGCATATCGTGTGTAGAAGGTGTAGAATATAGGTAGAAGATATGAATTATGGGAGAGGCACCACCTCTGTATATAGAGGTGGTGTTACCTGTTTCCTGAAACTCTAGTAGAATAGGTTTAGCCGGTGGTTTAATCTCCAAGTAACGTAATCCTAGGCCCAATAGGCCTAGGGTTAATTTATGACTCGTCAAGTGCCCCTAGCAAGCCATATTCTCGAAACTTGATGAGAAGAATATAGGTTACTACGAGTACGAGGTTGGAGTTTTGACGGCTTCTCGACTTTTGTAATGTTGCCCCAATTCTCGAACATGATGTTCCTGCAAGATGAACAAAAGGGTGATGGTCGACAGAAGAAGGTCCTTGAGGGGACAAGGGTCGATGATGACGGGGTCCTTGGAAAGACAAAGGTCGACAAGGAGTGGTCCTCGAAAGGACAATAGTCGACAAGGGAAGGTCTTTCCAAAGGACGATCTTCAGGAGGACAAAGGTTTATGAAAGACGGTCTCGATGAGAGACAATGGTCCGTGAGAGGACGGTCCTCGAATGGATGACGATCTTCAGGAGGACGAAGGTCTATGAAAAGACGGTTTCGATGAGAGATAATGGTCCGCGAGAGGACGGTCCTCGAATGGATGAGTAGTCGCTGGAGAAGGATTCTCGAGAAGACAATGTTCGACAGAAGAAGGTCCTCGGAAGGACAATGGTCGATAGGTGGTAGTCTTTTCGAGGAACGTGGTGCATAAGGGCTTCTTAGGTGATTGAGTTCAAGTGGCTCGAGCTTGTGGATTCTGCCATTGAACTTCGACAAAGATATTGCAATAATAATAATAAAAAAAGAGTTCAAGTTTTCCTCGAAGTAGAGTCGTTAATGTCTTAACAGTATTGAAAAAGTATAAATATTGAAATTGAAATACTAAATGTAGGAAGTCATCCAAGAAAGGGAACCTTCACGGGTGTTGGAGTAATGATCATATTTTCGCTGAACTTGATTTGAGAACCCTCCTACGGCATTAACTTGTTGAGTTAGGTCTTCTTGAAGAGAAGGACACATGTCTGTTGGGTGCCTAGGATTGGTGCAGATTCTGCAAAGCTTAGCCGCCTGTAACTGTCCTACAGCCATTTGACGAACCAAAGAAGTTAAATCAGAACTTTGATTGACAAGAGCAGAATGACTTACCTCGTTAGTCTGTTTAACACCTCCATCTGTTTTCAATCCAAATTGTTGAGAATTTTTAGCCATGTTTGAAATTAGTTGCTTTGCAGTGTTTTATCAACAAGAACTCCTCCACTGGCTGCATCTATCATACTCCTATCCATGGGCAGAAGACCTTCATAGAAGTATTGGATCAAGAGCTGGTCTGAAATTTGATGGTGGGGACAACTAGCACACAACTTCTTAAACCTTTCCCAATATTCATAAAGGGACTCCCATGTCATCTGCCGAATACCATATATCTTTGTGTATATTTGCAGCCCGTGAAGCAGGGAAAAACTTCTCCAAGAACAATTTCTTCATCTCGTTCTATGTGTTGATTGAACCTGAGGGAAGATCATATAGCCAGTCTTTCACTTTATCACCTAAAGAAAAAGGAAAAGCTCTTAGTTAATTTACTCCTCAGTGACACCCTGTGGCTTCATTGTTGAACAGACAACATGGAATTCCTTCAAATGCTTGTGGGGATCTTCTCCTGCAAAACCA